GAAACGATCTCCGATCTTTAGTTCGAGCGCATTCGTGCGTGTCAACCAGTCGATCGAAGTCCTAAGTACGCTTTAATCGCACGAATTCGAGGGGCTCACTGGAGAAATAATGACGTGATGACTGCTTAAGAGAAACAAACACAGTGAAAGTATTGTTGCGTCGTTAAATATTGAACGCAGTCGTTCGCGAAACCGACCGGGAACGATCCCACGACATTTTCAACGATCGCTCTAGCCACTTCGTTTGAACCATGAAACAGGCTGCAGTTTATTTCTATCCTCGACGCGATTGAACAACACTTGCCTTACTACCTGCATCTTAATAGACCCGATAGTAGACGTTATAAAAGCGTACGCCATTTCTCGAGTTTCTCATTAAAATCAAAGACGGTTTAGAGATTCGTGCTGTATACAGAACGTGTGTCGATCGCGTAGATCGAAAAGCAGAAAGCCACCGCGAGTTTATTCAATCCTTTAAATCCTTACGGTACTTTGGAAATGCTATTGATACTAAAATTCAGCCATTCTTCAAGGTATTGCATAGTACTGAAAACTAATTTATTTTATGTCTTTTCAAGAAATGAGCCAAGTATCAGTAACAGGCAGCAATTACTTACAATTGTATACTTTTTTCTTTATCTATTCTTGTCTGTAAACGCGCTTCAAAATACATTATAATGACTATGAAATCTCCATTTTTCAACGAATTCTTGTCAGATTTCACATTTTTCATTATATAATATTTTCAAATTATCTAAAATAAAAATTGTAATCAAAAACTCAGACTCAAGAGGGTAACCAAAGAAACGCGACAGTGAAACGGTCCAGTTTCCTGTTTGAGCGTTCGCGGTTCAAGGAGCTCGTAAATTCGAGCCGTTGTCCGACGATGTCGTTGCCTCCTGAACAACAAAGAAACGACGCGACAGTTCCTTCGATCGGTGTCGGTCTTCCGCTTCTCGGTGTCAAACGAACTTGCGAATACATCAGTCAGTGTCCCGCTACGCGGTGGCCGTTGCCACTTTCGAGATGTTCCGTTCTTTCGTTTCCTTCTTCGAAGGTGGCCATAGGATTGCGAGCGACTCGCTTTAACGCGCGTCCCGCGATTAGACCACCGTGGTGGCAAGCTTCTTGCAGGCTATAGCAGCAAATGCCTCGTTTACCTTCTAACGACTTTAACGCCGCAAAAAGCATCGCACCCCGGGAAGGTTCGCCTTCTATTCTCATCGTGGCTACCAGTTTTCGAATAAAAATTGCTGGAAACCACGCGAAATCCAATAATTGCGTATCGCCTTCTTGCGCGGTTGATGTTGTCCGCGGGAGCCATTTGGTGGTCTGTCAGTCTGGCAACTGGTTTTTCTCCTATCACAATATGTAAATAAATGATTATTATCCAAAAGGAGATCTTTATTGGTTCGGCATCGCTCCTTTCAGTAACTATTTTACATTTTCCTGGAGAAATCCGAAACGCCATGCTCGGTTACGTCTGGTTCCATGATTTCTTGTTAGAACCCGTTGATCAAGCTCGTTTTCTTCTATAGCCATCAGAAACGAATCTCTCCTTTCGTCGAATAAGAAATTCTATCTGTCGTTACATGAGTTTAGTTTCTCGTCTAGCTTAGTCCCCCCACTGTTAAGAATAAAATTAGCCTTAGATTCGAACTACGTTAATTACGTAGTATGTAGTATGACAGGGTCCGGCAAGTGTGTCGAGTTCGGTTACTCGAAGACAGTCACGCTCGCTCGAACCCGCGCTTAGACGAAAGTCGAGTTTCCGTCGCTATACCATTCAAGGTCAGGACTTAATGCACCCATGTAATTAACCTCTAACAAGTTGCCAGGCGGCACTTTGTCTTTTTGCAGAGAAATCCGAGCGCGAACAGGGAGATCTGAAGATTTCTCGTTTGAGCCGTCGTCGTCGTTGCAGCGCGTCGGGTCTGATCGAACACGGAATCGATCTACTTAAAATTCAGTGGGTTCAGAAGACTTATGGATGCGCAAGGAGCTCGGACATTAATCTTGCTTGGGCGATTCGTATACTGGCCCTATTAATGTCACAGTAATCTCGCGGGTAAAGCGGGAAAGTTCCTTTTGATGTCACCTTTCCGAATCGTTCTGCTACGTAGGAAAGGTGTTGATGGATTAAATAGCAAGCATTCTGATATTTGTTAGAAAAAATTATAGAAATCTTCATGTGTTTCAAGTGAAGAATCTTTTATTATTTGACGACACATATAATGCATTTTGTGTTGTCGGAATTTAACTATAGGAGAATGCAACCTCTTTTTGCTTAGTAACAGTCGCGCATAAAATTTCGGCCTCGATTTATCGTACCACCTGTTGGTTGATACTCGCAGCTGCCTACTCGCTATTACCAGGAGTTTGTTCAGCAGCGTTACGAACGCGCAGGTGCTACTTTGAGGGGACAAAAAATACAATTTCGATTCCTTAGTCTACACTCGGTGGTATTCGCTGGAATCTGTTCGTCATCCCCACGCTACAGTAGAACGTCGTACTTTGTTAATATGGTTTCGACGAACGTTGCGCAAAAGTTCAAACGGTAGATACCGCTTTGATGGAAGTTGAAATTGAGACGAAACAAGCTGCTCGTTTCGCGAAAGATCGTCGAGCAGATCGAGCACGAACTGAATGTGCAATATAGTAATACGTATAGACTTACTGAAGACACTCGCTCGTAGCCAAGACAAATTAAACTCGAATGTGCATGCTATTTGTTTCATGGAAGGCGCGATCTTTACGAGAATCGTGCATACGTGCGCGGTAACAACAAAGCGTGGGAGTTCGACCTGGGCTTGATCGGGGAAATCGAGATCACGTGCATTGCAAGCAGTGCAGCAACGGCGACGCGCGCACCACGGCCTGCTGCACTCACTTCCTCGACTTCTGGACTTGTTTCCTAGCGTTTACGTGATTACGTAAACCTAAGTTAGGTTCCTTGTCTCTGCGATTACGTTTCACCCTGCAGCGATATATACTCGGATATGTTTTACAAACAAAGACCAGAAAGATTAAAGATTGTAGGATCACATTCTACAGATTGTGCATCTTTAAGTGGAAAAAGTGAAATTTGTGATAATATTACTGTAATAAAAATAATAAAATGAAACAGAGATCAGTTAATCGTGCTGAAAGGTATACAACTAATAATTAAGCCTATGAAACAAGTAGTTTTGAAACCAAGACCCTATCTTGTGCCGCAACTTTAAATCCGATGTTACGATGGTAATAATTGCGATGCCGTTGCTGCATCTTGTTCGAAAATTAGAACTTTCAAGTAAATGAATGTTCAAATAGCCTTCAATTATCGTGATCCCCGGTTCTCTAAAACCGATTGCCTTTCCCTTCTTAAGCCCGCAATCTGGTTACGCCTTCGACGAAACGATTTTCTTTCCACGTAGGTAATCCTCACTCTTTAATCCTTCATTCGCGCTGCCACTCATCGTTGGAACCCTTCTACTCGGAGAATGAATCGTTAATATCATCAAACGTCGAGGGTCGATATCGGAACAGTCTGCCCATCGAATAAAGGGTTGAAGCGTAGCTCCCCTTATCCGTGGTTCGTACAAAGAAACGTCAGATACGACTGGCAGTGTACCAGTCGTCTGCAATTAGAACCAAGATAATGAGTCCATTCGATAGAGTCTGCCCACAGTTGTCGGTCGGTATTGGCATTTGCCAACCTACATACCTAGACAAACGATAGTTCTCGCTCGTACGAGATCTTATCCGAAACTAACCGTAACCAGCCTATCGAACGAAAAATCTTGGGACATCACGAAGGTGATCGAACTGTACACATTTTCGCATTCATTCACAAATATAAAACTGCACTATATCACTAGAAAGACAAATATCGATTTTTGAAACAGAAATAAAACTTCTAAAGCGAAGTTCTTATAAGTATTAAGTCAAAGCAAATGTGAACTTGATCACTGAAAATATTGCTTATTTCCTAATGTGTAGATCTAGATCAAAAAGTTCTTGTATGAATGACCCATCGGTTGTAAATTTCCACGACTGTAAAATCAACGCGATCATTCGCAGTTTCATAGTCGCCAATAGTAATTAAAGCGACGTGCTTTCCGCTCGGGAGTAAACGAACAGGAATACCTGATCGCCGGCGAGCCAAGCGGGGCTTCGTCTCGTTCTCTGATCTACTCTGCGGGATACCGAACAATGCTCCCTAATGATGCTTACATTGACGTCGGTTCATCGATCCCCTCGCTACATCTGGCCCCTTGCAACTATCAAGTTTTTCCAGTTGAACTCGCGACACTCGTTCCATTTTATTCTTTTGTACCCAGCGACCACTGACCAGTGGCTTTGATGTAAAATCCGTGTGATAGAAAAATCTATAACCAGGCCGTCAGTTTTTAATCAGCTACAGAATGGTATAGAACTACGTCAGCGACTGCGAATGAGTTAACTTAACTTTCATTTAAGAAGCGTTTTTAAACGGATTACTTATGACATGGAAAAATGCCTCGGCAATAATTATTTAAAAAAAAGTGGTACACCACGGTGCGATTAACGGCTTTCACCGTTGTTCTATAGACTAGGAGGGAGCCGAGAATCGAAAGAGTCGCTCGACAGGAGCGTTGACTTCGCTTTCTAGAGGCTGTTTAGATCATCGGATTATATACTGCGATCTGTTCTAACGCGATCGACAAGCAGAGCCTGCGATCTCTAGACCATTCGTTATTTACAGAGCGAGACATTTGAATGTGAACGTTTCCATATATTAAGCGTAATTAGAAAACCGTGAACGAAATGGGTCTGCTGTCCGACCGTTAATGGAAAGAGCGAAAGTAAAGCGTTTGCGTTTACAACTGCCTCGCGCAACGTTACTTCACTCGTGACGTCTTCGTCACGCTCGTCCGAGAGAAACGCTTATCGCGTTCTATAATTCATAATTTATTTATCTATTCGTTATTTATTTTTCTTTCACGTGTTTTAACGATCTGTTTCTCGATTTTTTACAGGGGTAAATACGCTACAGTGAGAAGATGTCGGGAGAGGTCCAGTGGGAGGCAGTGGGCCGCGAAGTTCCTGAGGAAGAGGAGACGAGCACAGGAATTGAAAGCGGAAGCGCTTCACGAAGTAGCGGTGCTGGATGCCGCGGTGAATTGTTCCCGGCTGGTATCATTGCACCAAGTGTTCGAGACCAATACCGAGATGGTCCTGGTTTTAGAAATGTAAGTCGAAAGCTTAACTAAAGATATTAAATTGTATTGTATCATGAACGATAGGGAGGATTTGTTAATCGGTTATAAGCTTGTTACTCGCAAAGGATTTTTGTGAATGAAATTCCATTCTTTCAAGCAATATTCTCTAGTTTGAAACTCTATTGCATAATTCTGATGAAACTGAATTTGATTGCATGGATTTACAATGTAGATGCTTATATGGATTCGGGGCACTCCTTTTGTTCGCAGGGCTCCCGGTGGTGAGTTGCAAATGATATTGGACAGAGACGAGGTTCCGGAAGAGCGACAGGTCGCCAGATTACTGAAGCAGATTTTAGACGGAATAGCCTTTCTGCATTCTTTGAACGTCGCTCATCTTGACATCAAGGTAAGCCACCAAATTTATTCAACGTTTTCAAGGAAATTTTGCACGATGCTTGTTAACACATGACAAAGCGAAGTATTTCGGTCAAATCACGAGTTTTATCTACGGCGCGTTAAAAACAGAGTGGCTCGATAAGAACCGGTGAAGTATTTTAGCAAATATTTCTTATCTATATTTTTTACCTCGGTGTGAAAATACCTCCCGGGGATTTGACGGGCGCATAATTTGTTCGGAAATAGTTAATATCGAATAGAAATGGACAAATTATGATATTTCTAATTTTACTTTTAATAAAGTATCTTAATTATTATAAAATCACAACGATTTAACAAATTTTCAAAAGTCTTCTTTCGATAGATTATTGTTTTTCGAATAAGTGACCCGTTTACTGCGACAGATTCTCACCCGTACAATATAGAACGGTCGTAGATAGTCGAAGACTCTCGCGCCCAATCTCAGGGATCAAGCTTGGGTGTAAAAAAGAAACTGGTTGGCAACGAAACAGCGACATTTCAGACGGTGCTGGCAGTTTCTCAGCGACGCAACGTGTTCCGCGTCGCGGATGGTGCGAACGACCTAAATTGTTATGTAAAAGTATCCGTGTAATAGGACGATCTTTGCCAAACATCGAAAAGCGGGTGTGAAAACCGTTGCGCTGTCAGCGGATCGGCGAAACCGCGATTAACACACCCGTCGGATTGTCGATCGATTTTTCTTACCGCGAGTAGGCCAGGAATTACGAGGATCGCATTAATTCGTGAAGCGTTTCCCCCGCGAAACGCAATTCACATTGTTGCGACGGAAAGTGACTTTCTCGCAAATTCAAATATTTGTTAGAAAGTGGAGAGACGTTCTCATTGGAATGCGATACGATAGGTGGGGATGGCGTTTTTCTTTGAAAGCCTCGTTATCATAACAAAGTGTCGTTTGTTAAAAGAAGAATAACAAAACGGATAGCACGTGCACGAGCGAAATGGAATCATCGCGTTGGAATTCCGACGAATCCGGCCTGGATAGGGTGTTTCTGCCTACTCGAAATTATTTTTGTAGCGACGTCGAGGGAGTCGCGTCTCGCTGCGAAACTTTGCCTCGAAAATAACTCCGTGCGTCCCTTCTGCTGGGTTTTTTTACTCCAGCCTCGCGCAGGTACGAGCGTCTCGTCGCGCCGAGACGAAATCTCTCCGTCCCATGGTGCGGTGAAAATGAATCGAGGTTATTTGCATAGTTGCCCCGGTTTTATCGGCCGATAAATCTCTCAATTTTGTCAATAAATCGCTTTGAATTGCGCTAAGCGTCAGGCCACGGCGATACGTCTTGGATAGACACGCGTTACTTTGCATGCGCGTCGCGCTCCGCAGTGTACGCGCGACAAGAGATTTTTCTCTTCGCGCGATAAACGATGATTCGCAATTTGCGACGTGCGGAACCCAATAACGCGTCTTGTCGCGACACACGAGGCGTAGGTATACGAGTACACACGTGTTTATCGATTATCGACGTGATCGATATGGGTGAGCCAAGGAGAGCAAGTCGTATTAATAATATTCCATCGACGACACAGGCGATGGGTCGCGTATCATAGCCGTCTTCTTTTTTTATTTTTTTCCCCTTTATTCCTTTTAACGCAGCTTGGATTATAATCATAGTTATGCAACCCAATTACCAGGCTTTCGCAAATTGATAGCAATTTGCGGAGACACAACCTATAAAATACGCAACTAAATTGCGGCGCCGGCGAGAGGGAGCCTGTTAAATTCGCTTCTATGACGGATTATACGCAAATTGACCACGCGGCAAATTAAATTACCGTGGAATATTACGATCGCGCTCGCAGTGAAGTAACGTCGATATTTTTGCAAGTTAAAACGTCGCATATGTTGGAACGTCCTTTGCATTCTCTTATCGGTTCTTCAAACTTGATAACTCACGATTACGCATCCACCGGTATTATCATGATATTTTCCGAGAGATAAGATAATTCGGTGCGTTCTGGGTACACGCTAACTTATCCAGCAGTTAACCCACTGATACTTGACTTCGCGATATACGTCTACTTGACGAAAGGAAAGTTGAGGGATTCTTTTGATGCTTTATTTCTTATCATGTTATTTCTTCCATCGTGAAGAATAATCGATTCGTGCTCGCGTTCCAACGAATGAATTACAGATGCGCTTTCCTATCGATTGGCGAAAGTTTCATGCCACTATAAACATTTAAATCAGCCTCCTTGATTCCCTCTCCCGCGAACGATGAAAGTAAACTGTTTAACGTCATCGTAAGACGTGGCTATCAAAATATTTTTTCGCTCGGGGGCTGGTAACATGTTTTTAAATCGTCGACCCGCGAGACGCCGTCATTCACGATCGCGAGAGCGTGGCCGGACGTGAAACGATCAACGATCGTACCGAGAGGAAAAACGGTACTCCAGTTTTAAAACTTTCCATTTCGCTGCGTTTCGCTTTTCGAGAAATCATCACTCTCGGTTCGGTTCGATAGTAACTCGCGGCTCTCGCCGCGATGCACCGTAGAGTATGTACGCACGCATGCACGCTGCGTGCACTCTCCTCTCCAGTTCGTCTTAAAATACCACCGTGCCACGAATTCACGCGATATGCCTAACCCAAATATAGATCCCGCAGTTATGAATGGAAAAATGCACACGAATTCTTTGGCCCCGTTCCAAGAGGCTCCGTTGGCCGACGTCCACGGGGTTCTATAGGCGCCGCGGCGCGACGTCGATGCCAGTTTCGTGTAGCTACAAAATCGCGCTCCCGCACCCATTGCATTTCTTGTAATTGATAACTCGGAATGAGTCGAGGGAGATAAAACGTTGCATCACTATACAGATTAATTCCTGTTCTCGATTCTACATGAATTTTCTATACCGTACACCGAAAATATGAATTTTCATCGCTTCGTCGATCGAGCGCGTTTCTTACTCACATTATCTACACAATATGTAATATGTCTCATAGGTAAGAGCTTGTAGAAACGTCCGGTTGAACGATCGGTCGGCTCGATACACGTACAATAATAAACGCTGTGCGTATATAAGCTGGCGCCAATGATCCCGTCTACTTTTCTATTTGCCCTCGGCGAACCGCGATAATCGCGTTGTTTGAAATTAGCGTGCGTCTTACGTCGGCCAGAAGGAATATTATTCTTGGCTTTCAGACGGGCGGAGTAGCAGTTTTTCAACGGATTTTCTATAGAACAGAGGCGATTGACCTCTTTCTCGGTAGAGAAAGGGAGAGATTCATCAATGAACTCTTAGCCTAGCCTTGATAGTCGGAGGAACAAACTCGTACCAAGAATTCCACTTCTGGTCGTGGTCAGTGGCTCGTCACGCCATGCCGGTTCCCCCGGATCGATGCACGCCAAGTGCTGAGAAGTTCGTTCATTAGGCGCGTTCGATGAAATCGATTCATCGGCCTCTTAATGGGATAACCGAGCCCCACCCCCGTCCCGCGGAATCGCGCTCGCTCGGAGCGCGATACCGGGCCAAGGAAAGAAGGAATCGATATTTCATACGTCGCGGGAAAAGTGACTGGCCTATCTCCTCCTTTCTCTCTCCCCCTCTTATTAGCAATCGTTTCAACATTATCTCTTCTTCTATAGTGTCATGAAATTCGAGAAGAATAACATTTTCGTATTAAATAAAAAAGACGAGTTTTTATTAAATTATGTGACTATACCTGTTCGATATGTTGTACTATTCTTCGCGAAAGCAATTGGAAATGTCGTTTTTAAGTTCTGATAAATAATAGATCCAATCATTTTATAAAATGTCGCCTATAGCGGTTTGTTGACGGTTGGTCGCGAATAAATTGATCGAGGCACGCTTACGCATCGTGTGAATCGAGCTCCTCTCGCCCAGCGGTCAGTCGAAACGGCTCTTTCTGGCCCCCTCCGAACCCTGCCACGTTACATTCATGGTTCGCTCGCTCGTGTGCACGCATACCGTGCACACAGTTACGACGCGCGCGTATGCGTGCACGGACTTACTTTATTCGCGTCTGGCAGCGCAGCGTAGGGTCGCTTCCCCCCTTTTCTCAACCGCCGGAAGTTTCAATGAACGCGAGAGACGGATCCTCATAAATTGGTTGTCCGTTGGCTAAAAAGCGTTACGTCTTTCAACCGGCCGCAGACATTTTTGCACGTGCCTCGCATTCTGCACATCGGGTGCACAAAGGTTCGATTCGAGAAAATCCTATCTCCGTTTATCACGACGAATACTCGGCGTCGACTGGATACGCGACATCGTGAGAATTACCTCGAGCGTTTTTATCTTACCGAGGTGGATAACCCTCGCGGTGTAATGGCTTTCGTCCTTCCTGCAGTTTTTGCGATCGCTCTCTGCGTTACGTTAAACGACGACTTCCGACAGACCAGGAACTAGCTCACCTGTTACATTTTCCTAGACACGCTCGATCGATGCGTTGCACGAACAGAGCGTCGCCGAGTCTAATTGAACTGATCCAACTCGATTCTTGATCGCCTTGGTTACGAGTCTGACACGAAAATGATCATTTTATCCGGCGAGGACAATTGCCAGCGTGATAATATTCGCGGTAATCGATTGCAACGCCTACGTCGTGCAAAAGTCGACTGACGCAGGAACTTCGCAAATGACTAATTATGGAAATGGCTTTGTTCCTTATTGAACGGCTTCCGGATCTCGGACGCTTCAGACTGGCGATGTTCGTCCGACCGTGTGAAACACGTAAGAAAAAACAGAAAAAATGTTTCGCAGGACATGTTAAATGATCGATGAACACAGACTGTCCTTTGAATTCGACTTTACCGAAGTAGTTTTGAATCAGAAGCATTTGCTTGTGGTGCAGTCAGGTCACGTTCGACTCGGTGTACATATACACAGCAGAATGTAACGCATAAAATTAATCCCCTAACGCGGTATGGAACGAGCCGTGCATGCCACTGTTTCTACTCTACCGCATTTTTCGATTAAGATTTCTAAATGAGGTAGCTTTTACAATATCGACTCGATTTGCTCATGGTATCTCGCGAAAAACACCGTTTCACGAAACCTATGAACGCAACGATGATTCCGGACGATGAAGTAGCGTGAACCAGTCAAATAGAGAAAGAAAGGCTTTTCCTTAAATGCCTCTGTCACGCCACGTGACACGAGAGTTTTACCGCAGGTGTCAATTTGCTATCACCGACGATGGCGCACGATGCGTCGTCGTGCGGCGGTTGATTTGATGTTTATCCTGAAAACGCGAAGTCACGCAGCTGAGAAACTTCCCGAGTCCATAAAACGGTGAACGAATTTCTTCAACGTTGTTTTCGCGAGATCGAAAACGTAGGCGAGTGAATAGAGGTGAGAGAGAGGATACGTAGGCGTCTCGTTCGAACGGTTATGTATACTAGAGAGGCGTTCTATACAGCGTATACGCGGATGCAAACGCGATCACCGATAAGAAAGGTCGTGGAGCGGCCTAACTGCTCGCGATTCATGCTTCTTTCTCGATCGGTTTTTAGCCGAACTCTTCCCGAGAACTCTTTTCTCCCGGAACAATCGAACAATGCTCGCCACCCCCCGGCCCCCTGCATGCCGAGAGAACGTGTCCCAGGTAAAAAGTGAGACGTAAAGAAAGGAAGAGAGAGGAGAAGTAGGGGAAGGGACGAAAGTTCGTTGCTGGCCTATTGTCAACTTAACACGACCGGTTTACGACCTCCTAGGTAGAGAGACGATTATGTTTTCAGAAACCATTGGTGGTGAACGTCCGAATGGGGTCCGAAAGGGCGTCATTATCGAGCGATTTATTAAATACCCAACGAGAGCAGAACACTCGAGTGTCGCGATTAATTGCACCGATTACTACCTGGCGAACGGAATCGGTCTTTATTCAGTACTTTTAATTAAGTGCCACTGCATGTACCCATTGGGACGCTTAACGATCGTTAACTACGCTCTTGTAACGCCGACCTATCGAGAAAAACCCACCTTGCCGATTGCTGTAACGTAACGAGATGTTACCAGCCCATTCTCTACGCTTCTTGTAAATGCATTATTGTTGCAATGGATGAAGAATAATAATATATCATCGATTATTCGATATATTAAAAAAATATAAATAAGATGAAAAGTATATGTTTTTATGTATGGGGTTGATCGATAAAAAATCAATTCTTCTTTAAATTCACCATTCGTTTTCATCAAATCCAATTGCTAGAATGTTTTGGATGTACGCACATGGGTTTCTCTTATACTTCGCGAATTCCTCGGGCCTGAAAAAGCGAGTAGTCGACAGGAAGAGGGAAAAATTGCGAGTACACGGGCTCTCGGGACGATTAATTACCCTGATTACGTGACGAACGCACCGGTGAACGGTCATTTATTAAATACGTTTAATTAAGTGGCATCGCGTAGGCACGAGGCATGTAATGATCGCTCAAACCGTGGTACCAGGGACCGTGGAAAAAACTAGCCCGATACATGTTGCTCCGCTACGGCTGCCACTGTGTTCCGTCCGATCGCTTTTGCCCGCGAACACGTTTCCCTTGCGCCCCAAGCCCTTGCTATCAAGCGCTGTTGCTGCTGCCGCTGATGCTCTGGTCACTTGATAATTGCGACGACAAGATCGCTCGAAATAATTTATTCTCGCTGTAAACGTCTCGGATAAAATATGAAACAATGTTGGCGCTTGGAGACTAGAGCGAAGATCGCATCGTACGTTTAATCGCGACGGTTTGATTCCGTCGGGCTAAAATATGATCGTATCTGTTGCGCCCGCAAGCTGCAAGCAATTATACGGAACAGGGAAAGAAAATAACAAGCCCTTTTGTCCGTGTTTCGACCTAACGAAGGAAATTCGTCGACTTGATTTGAATAAAACCTTCGCTTTCTCTGCTGGAGCTTATTATCGTCGCGAATTTATATTTCTTCTTAATCCTCGATTCCTTTAGAAGAATATACGAATTTTTGTTTCTTTCAGCCACAAAATCTGGTCTTGACCGGCGAGTTCCCGGACTGCGATGTGAAACTTTGCGACTTTGGTATCTCGCGGTACATCAGCCATGGCGCAGACATACGGGAGATTCTGGGCACGCCCGATTATGTTGGTGAGTATTCTCGCATGGAGGAAGTAACGGTGAATTTTTCACTGTTTCTTTCTGAATCAACGAAACGGTTCAATGTAACTATTAGCTACCTTGTAACAATTAGCGTCAATCTTCCCTAATTCCATTATATTAGAGAAACATAATTGAATAAAATAGGTCGGAAAAAGAGTCATACATATTTCAACACTGAATAGTGAAAAGCATTTAGGATCATTTAACTTTGTTTTGAAATCAGTTTCTATCAATATTCAATAATATTTCATTTTCTATGTTGATTCCATCTTTAAATCAAATTTAATGATTGTTTCAGCTCCGGAGGTTTTGAACTATGAGCCTATCAGCTTGGCAACGGACATGTGGTCCATCGGGGTTCTGTTGTACGTACTGCTAACGGGATGCTCCCCGTTCGGCGGTGACACGAAGCAGGAAACGTTCTGCAACATTAGCCGATGTCGCCTAGATTTTCCCGACGACCTGTTCGAGGACGTATCCGAGGAGGCTCGCGATCTCATGCGCAAACTGATGGTCAAGGATCCAAAGTAAGTAATACGCGTCACTGTACTCAATTTTTCCTTTCCACGCATTACTCGCCGAAAGTAATGGCTGATCGTGAGAGTACAACGGCGAGCGTCGACAGTGGAATGTCGCGATCTAACGATCCGTGGTGTAGTATAGGTACCGCGTAACGCGATTACTTTCGTTCCTAGAAGCTAAATAATGCCAATGCGCGTGACCTAACTAACAATGTTCCGGAGATCCTCCGGGCGCAGGTCTATCTTCTTTCGCTTCGGAGTAAACGGTAAGCTGTAAACGTTCCCGGTAGGTCGACCAGTATGCTTCCTCGAAGGCATTATTTTCACCAGTGCCGGAATTCTCAGTAGCGAGTTCTCCGATAATGCTTATCCTCGTTAGTCTTCTATCGGTACGTGGCGCGGCCGCTGCTTCGCGGCCGATAAGCCACCGAGGTCGGATGCGAAAATTCCGTTTCGTTCGTTAATGCGATCCTCGCTGTCGAAACACGATCGTTCTGCTTCCTGAATCGAGTCTGCATAGAAGCAAAATGATGAACGGCATTCCACCGCGGCTACTTTCTTCGAAACGGGAAGGAGGACGACTACACATCGAACGAGTTCCGCTGAAAAACTTGTAGATTTCCTTATCGTCGACCAGTCGGACAGCTGGGAGGAAGTCCCCATCCGGAATATCCTCGCCCTTCCAGCGCGAAAACCCGCTTATCTCACTGCCAGTGCGTGCTTTATCACCGAGAATACTTACGCGCGACGTATTCGTTCCCTTGTCTCCTCGTCGCACCGCGTTGTCCGTGTCCGCGTTTCCTTTCTTTTTTTTCCCTGCCCGCGCGTTACGCCACCAGCTGGCTCGGTTAACACTGGAGACAAGAAGTCCCGCGGCTCTTGCCGGAAGTCGCGACGTCGATGGATCGGGAAGTCGCGAGACAGAACGCAGAAAGTCGTACAGGTCGAGGCAGATTCGCTCGGGGACATGTTCCAACCATTTTGCTTTTGCTGGTTGAAAAATTGTAGCCACGTATATTTTATCGAACCCTTTACGTAATCGTACCTTTGTTTGTTTTCCAGTGAACGCCTGACAGTCACTGAATGCTTGCAACACCCGTGGTTTACCCTGTTCAACGATCCCCAGTCACCGTTGTCTACGCCCACCTGTCCAGCGTTGGATCAGTCCCCTGTCAAAGACGCATCGTCACCGGAAATAAACTTATCCACGAAATCTAGTACAAAGCCGGAACAGCAAACTACAATGTCTTCGACTCCAAAGAGCGATTCTGAGAAACAAAGATCGTCGAGCGTTTGTCAAGGCGTCGAAACGAAACCTGCGGCGAACAGAGCGGTTTCTTCGCACACGGAAAATCTTTACTCGAAATCAAAATTGTCGTCCACTCCTGTCAGGATCGGACTGAGAGACACGTTCAAAAGGAACATGGATTCCTTAGCGCAGAAGTTCTCTGGGGAGGTCGTGATAATCGAGCCGGTTACATCGTCGGGGATAGGCACAGTTTCCTCGAACGTGACGAGCAGTACGCAGAGGAGAGCAACTGCCACGCACACTATGCCTGCCGGCGAGGTGTTCAAATGTACGCCTGTGTTCATCCTGGGAGAGGATCAACACTGCAGCGACAGCGGAAGTGATTCCGTATCTGAGATGTCGACGGACAGCTCGAGCGACCGAAGCAGTATCTATTCGGACGATTCGTTGGATTTTATTCTCTATGGGAAAAATCAAAGCAGAGCCAGTTTCCCGTTCTCGGCTGCGGAGACCGCCTCCGATAGATGGGAACAGAGGCACCACTCGAGAGTTTGGCCCAGAGAGTGCACCGGTGTGGTGAGCAAAGCTCTCAGTCGTTTCACATCGGAAACGTCGAACGCGAAATTCGGGAAAATGTCGACGCCGCCGACGGTCCACGGGAAAACTGGTCTGGAAGCGCTTCGCGAGAGAGGCGGCAATCTGGTGGTGATACGCGAGCCAGTCAGGGCTGGCAGATACACCAGATACAGCGAAGTACAGTGCGAATCGGTCCAAGCCCGGATTCGACGATTTCAAATTCACGGAGCATCGTAGACGCGTGATTCGTCTGCGTAGAGTTTGAGCAGCTTCAAAATCCCGGACCCGCGATTATCTTATAGAGTCGCAGAGTTCGTTGTACATATGTCTATAGTTCCGTATCGTATGTGTTACGAGAAATCGGTACCCGGTTGATTGAAATGCCAGACGAATAAGGGGGAATGGGTGATGGCTGTAAATACCTTGAGGAAGGCTAAAGAAGAGCACTAGGGTACTGATCTTTCGTGACACGCGTTGTAAATAGAACACTCGAACAAGCGAGATTTCAGGAGCGTAAAGAACGATCGATCGAGTCGAATTGACTGCTTGCGCATCGCAATCGGAAAGTTTCAAAGGGAGTTTAAAGTTTAAAGGTAACAATCGATCGATTGTATATAGCAACGATTAGATGCAAGCGAGGTTTGAAATGGGAGTTAGAGGCGCGTTGTCCGAGAGCACGAAAATCAACGGTATCATAGAGGATGACTTTGTCTATGCGGCGTCTGTTACGTAAATGACAAATGTCAGGGATATGTCAGACTTAGATCGGAATTCTGAAGTGATAGTAAAGGATACAATAGGTAAATAGAGGATCGAGTGACTCGAAGCCGAGCAGATAGTTCGACTTGCTGAACCTAGCCATAATGTTAGATCGGCCCTGAATCGTCGTGATAACGGTAATTAATATTACCAATGGGCTCTGTTCGATGGATCTCGCTAAAATCTGAATCCAGATAACTTTGAGGCCTTTACCGTGTTCGTTTAAGAGACTCGTGTGCTCATCCAGGATAACTCGCATGCCATATGCGAGGCTGCGAGCGTGAACGCGTTCACGTAAATAAATGTGTGCGATACGGGGGAGACTGTCGCGTATTGATATTTATGCGCATACGCGTGCACGCGCGACGATCGCACACCCGCAGTAGTGCCTACTTTTGTTTGTCCCGTTCGTATCTCGCCGCGGAAGTACGCATCGCCATGGTGCCCGAGAAAAATGATCGCGTGCGTTTGCGAGGAAGCGTGGTGAGAGAATGGATCGATGCTTCTAAGAAGAGTCTGGTGACCGAGCAAACAAGAAACCTTTTGGAATCGCAATAGTGCCTTACAATATTTTATAACAATAGTCGTACGGACGATTTTTACCAATCGCACCGTCGATCGATCGAAATTGAGAGCCTAGACTAGCTTTAGGCGTCTCCAATTCTTCTCGTTGAATCGATAGCGTCTCTCCAGGGTCGGTTCGTTGCCTTAGATCAATTGACATTAGAACACCGCGAATATCGCGTTACACCACCGAAAGAAAAGTTTTACCCTTCTTCCTCCTCATCCTCCTTCCTTTCTGCGCCCACCCTGTACCGTCTAAGATTTATCGCATCTCAATTAATCGCGGAGCAACTGCCGTTAGTACTAAATCGATGCTTTAAGCGTGAAAGAGCATATCTACATGTATATCCGGGGACGAGTTTCGTTCGTCACGAATGGAATGATCAAGAGTTGCTCACTCATCGAATAAAATCACGATCTTCTTAGCTCCGTGCGAATTATCATACGAATATACATATACGTACAGTTTTACTTATTGTTAGCTAGAATCAAAGGACGAACGCTGAAAATCTCGTGGAGCGTTGACTTCCACAGTGGGAATGGAGCGCTCCGTAAATACTAGTCATACAAATCGCTCGTCCTCTTGTTCGAACTCGTTCGTTTCGTTTTTGCTGTTTTACTCAACAGCAAAACCCAGCAAAATGTGCCTTTACAAATTATTAAAGTGGAAATGGTGGAATGAAACGCGAAGATTCGAGGAGGAGGGACGAGTGCGGAAACGGAATGATACCGTACGTTGACGATGTGAAAAATAAACTTATGCAGCGAATTAGTGGAAAAGAAAGAGGAAATGGTAAGCGTTGATCGAATAACGGATAACTATGCGTCGTCATTTCGTAGAATCGAACCTCGTAGATCGAGGAATTGCTATCGAATTTTTCTGACTCCACGAACGATTACTGTCGAGAGCGTTCGTCCGCTGAAATTCCAAAACGCACACGGAGACACGTCGACGCACGAACGTTTAAGGTTCACCCATTCAACAACACTGCACACGTCAGCGATATTGAGTTAGCATCGGCAGACTCACGTTGAATATTTTTCTAAGCCGCGGTTCTACGTCTTTTCTAATATTTTACAGTGACGCAACACATACTTTTATAAACGTTTTAAAAAAATTATGTGTAAAGCATTATTATTTTTGGTTCTCGCAGCACTTAAATGTAATTTAATTTGATGAGAATAAGAATTAAATTTTTGTTTTTCAACATTATATTCAATATACGTTTATCAAAATTATATTAATTTCATATTTAATATACCTAGTAATATGAGCATGTTGGTGTTGATTTAATACCGTTCGTCCGCAGTGGTGCTAAATGGACAACCCCCTTATACGATTATCCTGTCGTTGGATATAAACAACGAGCGAACGAGAGTAAACGAGTGAACGTTTATGAGTGTGATGTGTGATTTCATGATTTGCCTCTTAAAATCAAAGAAAATCATAGAGAATATAGTTTTGCTACCGTGGGAGAGTAGAGCGTGTGTCCGAGTAAGCCTGCGCGCATATTTCCCGAGGTCGATTCGTTGTTATTTATTGCCCGCGTTTACTTTTGGTCTCGGATATTTAATTATTTTAGGTCGCGTTTTAATTTCCATGGCTTTCAATCATCATTAGGCCTCGTAGAAAAAAGCACATCGTGTATACTTTTACTCGGGCACGTTCTGTTCTCCGATCTAATCAGTTATCATTATTATTATTATTATTACTATTATTATTATTATATTATTATTATTATTATTATTATTATTATTATTATGTTATTACTATAATGTTATTAATAATATCGAGGTTAATTACGATGGAAAGCATCGCAAACGTAGACATTATAAGACCTTCTGTAAATAATTCTGTCATTGTATTAATTTTAATAACTTGCGAAATAAATACCGCAAATCATTCGAGATTGTAATCGCCTGATTTACCTGTAATATTAGACTCCCAATAGCGTTTATGGAAACGCGTAGTTTCATGAAAAATATTGAAAGCATATTTCTTAAGTTACATACACGTACCTGTTATGTGTCGTACGTTGCATTCTTCGGTATATTTGAACGTTCACAGTCTGCGAACGATGAAAACACCACGCGGAAAATCATCGATAAAGTACGCTCACCAAGTCAGAATTTTTCCATAAGGGGATTCGACTTCTTCAAGAACGTCGGTTTTCTTTTAATGCTATAAATAGGCGAGCATTAATAGCAGCCAGGTGACGCAGTGATTCACTAGTAAGATTTCTTGACGGGACAAAAGCCCCTGCTAATCCTATTCTAATCCGATGTCGAGGAATTTTGCGTTTACACGCTCTCGTTATTCGGTCTCGTAAACGGAGACAAGCGTAATCTGATTATTTGTACTACATTCTTGTTGTACTATTGTACTAGATAAAGTTATGATTAAACCTGAACATGAATATCAATCATTTGAAAATTTTTAATATGTATAGCAGATGAGAGGATTTAAAAATTCGATTGATCGGATATAATACGTTACATAACTGTAAAAGTTGTAGAGACTTTTACGAATTAAGTGCTCACGACAATGTTGCCTTGAAACTACACCTACGTGTGGTCTACGCACACTCGAGAATTTCGAAAATGAATGGCGACTAATTGTAAAATTCGATCAACATCCGGAGGCTCCATACAGACAGAATGATTGATTCTTTTAGAAAGTTTCCTCGCGAACGGTTGTGGTTACGGGCGTTTCAAGATATTTTTTGTTGGAGAAAAAGTGAAGTCGGTTGTCCACTTGTTGCGTATTCACCGGTTATATCGCTGTATACTGGCCAGCGTTACATATAAATAAAAATTAAATATGAAAATGCAATCAAGACACGTGGTACAAAGACTGTTTTAAGAAAAATGATTCTCGTCACATACAAGGTCTGTCTACATACTTTTCCTCTCGGATTCTTTGATAAATTTTATAAAGATGAGAATAATTAAAAATGAAACTGCTTCTAGTATAAGAATAAACAATACTATCTAATTTGAAGCGATGAACTCATTGTATACAGTCATACGAGAAACAGGTCTTTTCCGTGTGTCGCCTACGTATCTCCTGTTCTCATACGGAGATACGGGTAAAAAAAATTATAAACTGTTACATTGTATCATATCATTGATTGAGATACGCAACGCTGGTACAAAATCGCGCAACGAATGAGGCCTGCATTTGGAGATCTGGAATGTCGTTCCGTTCCACGCAAAAATGCGCACCAGTTTGGACTTTTGGTCGGTCAAGGCTAAAGAACAATTGGCACCAATAAATCCTCAAAAATAGCGTGGACGAAAAGAGTCGCAGCGGCTTGTAATTAGCGGTAGCTTGCCGCTTTTGTCGGACGCCGCCGCGCTTTTTTGTCCACCGCTTGAAGACTTGATGATTCGCGAACTGACCTACACGCCTAATTAACGAATCATCGTTGGAAAGCGCGAACCGCGTAGCTTCACTCGACCTCGGCAAGTGTCGTAAACATTTATCGGGCGTTGATTTAGCAATTCCTAGGCGCCACGAGACGGCGGGCAATCGTTCCAACCCCCCGAGGCAGTTTCCATTAGCGGAAGCGGCCCGAAGTCACGATGAAATTTACCAACAAGGTCAGATGGATTGTATCTCATGAAAAAGGATTAATAAATCGATGTCTTCGTAAAAATTTCTTAATTCCACCGCATCGGGAACGTTTCAAACACACGGCTGGCTGAAGATCGCAAATAAGCGAATGCACAGTACCATTATCCTTCACTCTCGTGAAGTGTTTATTGAATCTTCTACTTATCAATGCATACCTATAAATACATTAAATGAAAAAAAAATTGAAACTGGACAGAAGAGCTTTCTATGAGATGGCTATGAAATTCGATTGGATTCAGCAACACTTTTACTAGATCTCATTTGGATTTGAGTATAGGCACTTCCTATTAACCGTTCTTATATTTATGGACAGCAGCGTAGATACATATACACAATAAAGTCTAACGAGACACTCACCATCAGGGGGGAAAAGATTTGACGATACGACGAGATAAATGTCGCAGACCTTTTCGAACGGGGAACTTGCAAATTCTGGTGGTGTATCCAAGACATAGGACATTAATCGGGTCCCGAGTATGGTCGTAACTCGGTTATTAGACACGAGCCGGTCATTCCTATTGTGTCTAATACTTGGATCGTAAATCGTAGAGAAGTTGCACGTGCATGCTGGGCACGTCGTGCATTACGAGCAACCAGCGCACGCATCATACCGTCCTTTATGGTAGTCGGTAATTTGCATTCTCCGCGGATACTGGTGCATGTCTCCTTCGTTGTGTAAATAATACTCGCGGCCGCTTCGTTCGCGGAGTCTAACGAGTTTGACTCGGTCCTACACTCTGTCTCCGCGCCGACCATACCATTGTTCTCACGCATCGATTAAAAACGAATGCTTCTCTAGTATAATTTTTTTAATAAGAATCCAAGTATTGCGTAATAGATAGTAGGTATAGTAAATGGAGGATACATCGTCCTATATGAAAAAACTGTACGCTTCAATCAGTTCGAATATTGTACTGAATAAAAGTATACCTGGTTTTGAAAATAATTACACCTCTTATGCGAATGCTAAATAAGTTATTATTGAGCATTAATCACATTGAATATAACAAATAACAGTTTTAATTGACGAGATTATTTCGACGCCCTATTCGGGGAAGGCGCATACAATTGAACGAAACATTCTCTCGAAGGGGATATGGAAGAAGCTGCCTTTAATCTTTCCGCTGTATGTATAAGAGTGAGACGTACCGATTTGATTGTCGCGAAATGCAGCGCAATCGAGGACGTTGCCGCGAATAAACGAGCCATCAGGCTACTGACAATGACGCGTCGGTTGAATTTATTGCACCTGCCGGTAAACCTATAAACAGAAATCATTAAGCTGAGCCCCGGCAAACGTCACGTCGAATCGCGTCGTCGGATAATTGATTTCGTTCGATCCGAACGTGAAGAGACACGACCTCGGGTTCGCGCTCTCGCCTGCTGGCTTAGCCCATAAATGGAGCTTCTCAGCGAGATCGCCGATCGAAAGCCGGCTATCGAATTGGAAATATGTATAATTCTATTGATGCGACCTATCAACTCGCCAAGGGGTAACGCCACGAACATGCGAGCCGATTCTCTCTACCGCTGACGATATTATTGCAACGCTGACAGGAGAGCAATGATCACCTGTGCGATACGAAACAGGATTCACGTCAATTAAAATGAATTTCGTCTAACGATCATTTATTAAACAATCAAAAAAGTACAAAATGCACGTGATATGCAAAAATATTCACACTATAATATTTGGAGATCCTAATTCTATGTGCTTTACTTCTCTCATTTACGTTATTGATTCACAATCAGATATTTGGTAGGCTCGAAGGAAGATCCTGCGAGAATCCAGATGCGCGTGAAAAAACATTTTCTTTCTCGCGTCGAAGGCGAACGCCACCGAGGGAGCCCGCAAAAAAAAAATGCATGCGAATTCGTCATTGAAAGTAGACGAGCGACGGATAAGCGAGCAATTATCCTTGACACGATCGCGACCGAACACGTCGTTGCTAATTGTCGGTACTAATTGCTTGTCACCACTTTCGTGGATACTCGCACGTACGTTTTCCTTGTGGAGTACTCGCAGGTAGAATTAAGTTCCACGTAGACGTGACGAGCGCGTGTCCCGCTGCGTAATAGAAACGTGACGGAAAATTGACGGAGAACAAACAAAGAACAAAGTGAGAAATACTATTCGGTTGAGATATCTAACGTGACAGTATACAGTATAGATTGATTAGACTCCTTGGACCGGCTCGTTAATCGATTTCTCCTTAGCGAAGACTCGACCAGGAAAGACCTTTGCGTACACCCTTTCGGTGTGGGATCATGAATCCTTGTCTTTTTTTTTTCAATAGCGGCAGCTATCAAACGCTGAATCTTTCCTCTACCATGAACAAGAAGCCTCGACAAGGAACTCCTGTTACGAACAGTTATTAAAAAATTCTGGTTCTTACTCAGACAAATACCAGAAAGTTTAATTGTACGACGACGTTAAAGTAAAGAGAAATATGATGGAGCTTTGTACTCTATTGGAATCGAGATCGACACCTCGACTCGTTTCCAAGAAGCGATATAATCGGACATGGAAATCTCGAAGGCGAAACCCCCACGCGTTCATTAACATATTAACGCTATTACGATCATGCTTATACCGCGTTTCACTACCGTGCTTTGTACCGGACCCTTGTGTAAACAGCCAAATGTTCAATCTTGTAAAAGGATTCAACGACCTGCGAGCAAAACGAGCTTCCTCTTTTCATCGTTCGACGTATATCTCTTGTCATGAATAAATGAATTAGCATCTTCATTTGCCGTCGAGTATTATGTAAGATAATCAGAAATAATAGAAGGATTTTATAATCAACGTAAACAAAACGACCTTCTAACTTCTAAGAATAATTGTGTACAAAAGCTACAGTCAGATATCCGAGAAGGAAAGGATTTTGGGAAGATGTTCAGAAAGAATTTTCTCTCGCTCTCAAGAAGTACAACTTAGGTCCAGACATAATGTACCAGCTGGTTATGTCTACCATCAGTACCGGATTCCACCTCCGTCGGAGACCTGGCGTATACCGGAGCAGCGGCATCATAGCGTAAACAGCACTAAAAGCAGCAGGAGCAGTAGCAACGACAACTACGCTGGTGTCCACTCGAGGAAGGAGTGGGACAGGAGAGAAAAGATCCGCGAGACGAAGTTTGTTCGTCGGATCGGATCGGAGCGGGCGGCACGAAGAGGCTGGAGACGAGCGAGCAAAGGAGGAAGGACGGTTCGTGGGAAAGAGAGGAACGGTTAGTCTATGGTCCAGCGAGTCCGCGGTAAAAAAGAAATGAGCTGAAACGAAGCTTGTGGTCTCTCGGCAACTCGTGGCCAGTTTCAGCCGCGGCGCTCGACCGTCAAGCTCGCGATCTCTCGTTGGAACGGCCGACACTGTCGCTTTCTTCGAGATGCGAACATCGCCGCAGTTGTCTTCCGTCGAATCGAATTCGAACTTCTCGACCAGCGATGCTCTCGTCTGCTCGCTGAGCTTTTGACGCCCCGCTGCCAGTGTGTATACTTCCGCGAGTTCTTGTTCCTCATTTAATTGTCAGTGACACTGAAAGCATAAAAGTTGGATCGTTCGGAGACTGTTTTCGGTGATTGGGAAATTGAGCGCAGGTACGTCGAGTACAGGAAGGTCGATCTGATCAGATTTCCGACCAGTGCGTTGGACCATTTTGTTTTTAGCGAACCCGGTCTGTTCCAGTTCTGCTCGATGCCCTCGAACTGAAGAGTATCTTTGATAAGTCCACGAACGGGTTCTATCGTTATGCTCGATCGCGTTCATTGAACAACGTCTCGAGAATACGAAGTGCAGCTTCGCTAACAGTATGATCTATCAACCAAACCATCAGTCACCGACGATGTCGTCCACGAGGAAGACGTCACCGCGGCCTCAACGACGAAGCTTGCAGGCATCGTCGGGGAAATGCGCGAATGCGAAAGCGAAACGAGGAGGCGACAGGACTGGGAACGAGGAACGATGCAGGGGAAGGTGCAGAGTGCAGTGGAGCGAGAAACACGTGAAGGAAGGGTTGGTTCTCGTTCAAGAGACACAGCTGGCCAGAGTGGTTAAGACAGGACCCATCACGGAACATTACGAGATCGATCCAAAGCCGTTTGCCAAGTAAGACTTTCTTCATGGTACTTATCTGTAACATCTCCGTAAACGAATAAATTAACCGTTTGACAGTGACGGATCCGTAGCTTATTACGCGCGTACAATGTTTGTCTACTCATACAGATATTGCATACACTGATCTTGAATTAATTCTACGATTGTATCGTAAGTGTAGAAAAACAAGTAATGCGACTTGACAACAAAAGTAACAGGAAATACGTGGCTTTTCAATGATCCTTTTTAAATAACGTCTGGTCGTATAATAAGAGAATTTCTGAGTAATCGTCACCAAATTGAACTGGAGATCATTCGGTAGCCAGTGATACTCGAGCTCTCGGCTCGAGACAAAATGGTGTGCGCTTGAAATGGAGCAACCGAAAGCGATAATATGTTAATTCCGTTGGAGACGTAACGACTCGCTCCAGATGCAATCGTCATAAAAATAAGATTGCGTCGGCCGGATCGTTAACAACGATCGTAATTTTCCATCGCAATCGACACCTACCGATCGTTAATTCAAATTTGTATTAGTTTTCGTTGAAGAGACACGAGAAACGAGCGGTGAACTTTACCACGTTCTTTATTTGTCGGATATGTTAATGAAAGCTTAAACGACCGACGTAACCTACTGTCAACGTTCATCGATAATCCATTCGATTACTCGATATCGGCAGTAATCGCTCCCCGTGACTCTGCATTCTTAATGAAGCGGATCGCTCTCAACGGCTGCAACAGATTTCGCAATACCGAGCGTATACTCGATGAAATGTTGCATTCTCGGACTCGATCTCGTTTCGAATTCGTAATTTTTAAATAATAAAATACTCGAGTTCCTTCTCGGTAGTCTCGTTAGAAATTAAATACGTCCATCGGCTAAATCAATCGCGACGCGAAAGGCAAGCGGATGTCTCTTGCAAAAAAGAACAAGTACTCGGTTACGGGATGGTGTGGCGCGCGAAACAACGAATGTTAATCCACGACAACTCGACGTCGACGTTAATTGCTGTTGAAATAAAAAATGGTCAGGAGAATGGCGGCAATAAATTTTCATAAATTAACTCGCGGACGGAGACGAGGCCGGAATTTCAACGGTTCGATCAGCAGCGACGACAGCTTCCTCCATCGAGTTCTCATCACGCGTACGGGACGTCGCGTCGAGTCGCCTCACGTCACGTCGAATGGTGCTAAAATCCAATCTTCCTACGATTATCGAGACTCCGGTCTTTAATCATCGTGGACACTTTGATCGTCCCGTCTGTCGGAATAACGCGGACTGCTTCTACCGTATATAGCACGATCCTGCCCCGATCCGTTCGTATCCCGGTGATTCAGTGAGCATGATTGCGATTCAGTATCGCGAAAGAGCGCGAGAAGCTGCGCACACCTGGTATGTAATTACTTTTAGAAACGAGCCTTGAAACCATGGCGAGCGGCGAGCAAAAATTGCACCGGGACCAAGGGTGAGGGGCCTGGAAAATCGAGGCTTGCCAGTACGGCGCGTTCAAATTGGAAACGATTAAAGTTAATTGCACCCACTATCAGATGCTCGTTACGACTGTCGCTCTTATCTGTCCCGATTAAAGGACGTCGCGGTGAAATTGGGGACCGGCGGAGGAACGAGGATTCGGCGATTGCCGCGCAAGGGCATCTACTTTCCCCCCGCGAATTTACGAGTCGCGTTGCACGCTTCCGGGACGGCCGGTGAAAACTTTTGCCTAGCGCGGTAATCGATCATGGCAGGTCGTGTCCCCTTCCTGACTCGATTGTTCGAGAACATTGGTCAGTGGGAAAGTTTCGAGTGGCGACGGAGACGTTGGTCCACTCGCGTGGGACGTTTGCGCAATAAGTTTACCGCGCGCGATATAAAGACGCGTAAAAGCGCGCGGGTTCGCAGCATCGCGTTGCATCGAGCTATACGCGCGCAGCCTTGCAAGGCGCCGCGGCGTCGACCTTGTCGAACAGAGAGACGCTCGGAATCCTCCACGACGATCGTAAAAATCCGCCTGATGGCCAAACGAAATTTTCGCGTCTGCTTTCGCATTTTACATGACTGGTGAACTCTATAAGCGACGCACGCTGGAATCTCCGGTCCAGCTCCCTTCGTCTCACACCGAACTACTGATTTATTGTTAAATTATGAAAGAAAAAGGATTAGGTATTAACCGACATTGTTTCGACAGCGGACAATGGGCGAAAGTGTATCGGTGCCGATCTCGGTCGACCGGCATCCTCTATGCCGCAAAGTACTCCTCGAGAAACCGATTTAACGCGGACTGTAGCGCTGAACTGAGACACGAGATCGCTCTGCTGTCCCTCTGCTCGCAATCGCACCGGGTCGTTCGGTTGCACGACGTGTACGAGACGCCGAAGGAAATTATTCTCGTGATGGAATAGTGAGTAACGTCGACCGCATTCGTGATGGGTGTCGTCGCAGCAATAAACTTTGAAACTTTTCAGTGCTCCTGGTGGAGATCTGCAAACGCTTATTGACGGTGATTTGGTGCCCCTCGAAGGTGACGTGGTACACTTTGTGCGGCAGCTAGTAGAAGGACTTGCCTACCTCCACGAGAGAAATATCGCCCATTTGGACATCAAGGTAAGTTCGACCCATAAAAGGTCGAAGCAAACTTGTCACGCTTCTCGTGTATCCGGATCCCGGAACCGAGTTCGCTCGCGCCGCCGTCGCGTCGACGTCGCGTCACCGGATAGTTCCGACTATTTCCTATTGCTCGCGCCGCGTGTCAAAACCAAAATCGTTCCATGCTTATCAAAGTCCACAGCGTGATGTGTCGCGAAAGAATTTCCGACGAATGACTGAAACGTTTGCCAAGATCCAATTTGCTCGATTTTCAACGTGTCCGGACGTTTTCCACATCCACGCAGGTGGACATGCAATTTAGACGTCGTGACACGGCGAAAAAGGGAATTTTTTGCATCGTTCTTTGGCCACCAGAAAGGCAGCTCTAATTGCGATCGGAGTCGCGTCGCGATGGGAGCAAGGCGATTCCGTGATAAACGGCCGGCAAACAAATTGCAATTGCTTTTTATGTGTTCGCAATGAACAAAGGAGAGTCACACACGCTGGGCTGGTTAGGCTCCTCCCGAGACGAAAAAAGTCGTTGGGACTCGGACACGACTGCAAAACGAAAGCCCGAATGCCGGCCCTGTTCCCGGCTCGTTCCCGAGCAATTTATTGCGTCCTCTCGATACATACGGGCACGTTTTATTTCAGCAATCGCGGAAACGTAAGCGCCTTTTAGCCGGCGTGTACGGAAAAAATGTTCTGTACACGGCGAGAGCGCGCCGCATGTCGTCGAATAAAGCCCGTGCGCCGTGTATTTTCAGCTTGTCGCGGGAATCACTGGCCGAGGCGATCGTCTTTCTTAACGACCCGGTCTCGTTGTATACCTCCGCGAACTTCGCTCCAATGATTTTTACGCGAATCAACAAAGCTCGTAAAGAATCGCGTCAGCGTAATTAAGAGTTCGATGCTAAATTCGCTCAGCAAGCTCGTCGGCTTGCATCCGCGAAACACCCTCCGTGTAACGCGCAAGCTTTTGTTTCAACGAACAAAGTGCGAGAGGACGGTGAAGGGGGGGGGCGGTAGTTGCAATAAAATACGACTCGATCCGCGACGGGGTCACCATGGATAAAAGGATCTCTTCTCGTTATCCTCGCGAGAAATTCGCGAAAGGTCGTCGAGCCTTTACTACGGAACAACATCCTCCACCAAGGCGTCGCGCGACGCATCGCTGTGCCGTACCGGCTTGGATGTTTTACGTATGGATTCGGACGTAGCGTGTGTCGAATTTTATCGGCGACGTAAATCCTGATCTTTCGCCTCGAATCACGCTGGTTATGTATTCAGTTAACCTTCGCGATTCGATTATCACGCGATTCGCACTTTTACGCCCTACGCGTGACAAAATACAATACTCGGGCCTGCAGGTTCGAGGGAACACGGTGTAACACAATTTTAAAAACATTCTGCGCCATTTAAATTAATGTTCTGAAATTTATGTGACGAATAATGAAATTACGAAATGTAACAAATAGTCGGAACTATTCGCACAACTAAACCCTTTTATTCCTGAATTATTTTTTAGTAACGAATTCTATTATTAAAGGTAAAACAAACAGATCGTGTTAAAATAACTTTTGTACTTGAGAAAAAGATGTTCGCCAGATACTCAAAAATACAAATATACGTCGCAGTGCATTATAGATTGCATAATAATTTCAAGAATGCAATATCTCGTTCGTGTGCCGTATGACAAGAGCGAGAGAGTTAAAAATTCGAGTCCTTCAACGAATGCGGTGCATTTTCGCGATTAAATTCGTTTCCAACGGAGAAACTTTAGATTATAATGATCACGACACGATGGGAGAAACGGAGGGCGCGGCGATGGACAACCTTGACCAGTGGAAATTCTCGAACACGTTGGTGATCTCGCGCGATCCGTGATACACGATTCACGAGTTTGCGAGCCGAACCGAAAGTATTGTTGCGTGCGCCGCACGATACTTACATTATTCCCGCGCTCCATAAACACCCGACTACCGTATTTGGATATAGCAGGGCGCGTATCAAAGGGAGAGGAGACGCGGGACGCCCGATGTATTGCATTGCCGTTGCCGTGCCGGCAATTGTACGTGTATGTGCGTGCATGTATGTACGTACCAGCTGTGCAGTGTGCACCTCTGTGTGTGCACCGCCGAATCGATGCAATTACATTGTCTCCCGACGCAGACTGCACCGTAGGCGATACACCGTCTGGCAAAAAGCGATCGGTCTCGATCGCTTTTCTCTTCATCGACCGGAGACCTCGAAACGAAAAAAATTGATTCGAAATCAATTTCATAATCAGCATCCGACCCAATCTGCAAGGAAGAAGCCTGTAACTTATACAATGTGAATCTTGTCGTGATACAATTCAGGAGGAAAAACAGAGCGCAGTAAGACCCCACGCTCTTCGCGGAGCAGCGACCACGCCCTGGCTGCGTCGGTGAATCACACCTGGTTCCTATTTCGCTCGATATCTATGTCTGGGCGCCATAACTGGAGTAACTGCTGATAACTCGCGAAATTCTCGTGAAAGAGAAAGGAAGGAATCGCGTGACGCTGGATAGGGGACAGTTGCGTTACAGCAGGCGGCAGAGTTTCCTGGATCTCGTTTACCCAGAAAGATAACTTGTCTACGATCAGGAAAGTTAGAGCGAGTCAGTCGATTTTCGAGAGAAACCGCGGACAAGCAATGAATCGCGTTCCCAGCTCCCACGTTCCCAGCTTAAATGAATAATCGCATTCTGGTTAGCTCAGAGTAGTTTGCACTCGATGAATCACTGGCTCTGTTCACGCGTAGATACGAGCGTGCTGGTAACCTGTTCACCGTAACTAGAGCACCTCTGGGTGTCTCGCGACACTTGCAAGAAAGAACGGAGGAGGAGAGAAAATTTAATCAAACGCCTTGGCTCGTTTCGATCACGCTGAAAAGGGCAATCCTGGATGTTTAATTAGGCCACGCATCATTCACGTTTCTAATTTAATTAACAGAGCTCAAGACCAGAGAGAAAAACCGAATTAACAGCGTAAAGTGAAACTCTTCGAACAAATCGGCATTGAATAAATATTTATTTACCATGACCAATATCTTGTGTGCCTACGTTTAACTCATTGGATTGTGGATTCACGTGCACATCGCTCATCTTATATGTATTTGTCTATGTTTATATGGGGGCCAAAATCCAAACTGTTCTCTACACGCATAATATCATCCCACGTCGAAATTACTTGAATCGGTAAAAGACGAATCATGAGAGATTCACGTAGGATTTGGTGACATCCATCTGAAACGTGCTTCGTCCGATTTTGTCGTCCAAAATAAGAGAGAGGTCGATCAACGAGAGGTTGGCTCAAAGGTTTCGAGGACATGATTAGATTTATTGCTACTGGATGATTTCACTCGCGAGTCGTGTCTGACTAGTAACGTCTTGATCCCCTTGAATTTCGGAACATAACGTACATTACAAACAACTTTTTATAATCTTCAGTCTACAGGAGCCTTCAGATTAATGTTATTGTACTGATCATTTGTGTAAATGCTACAGTCTCTACTAAAGATGTCTCATAAAATTTTTTCCAATTTTTCATATTGAGGTAGAGCTAAGGAGAAAGAAAAGAGATTAGGTAAAATTGATTAAAAACAAAATTGCTCCTTCTACATTACACCTAAAGCACAAAATATAAACTAGCTAATGTTCTCACAATTGCGTATAATACAGTTCGAAGATAATTTTACGTCTTTTGTCATTATTTATCAGCCGCATGTATCGGGACTACCGAGAGGAACTTTGAATATTCAAATTCGCCCACGCGATCACGTTTCCAAGGACCTAGACGTTTAAGCCAGGAAGATTCTACAGCGGTGTCCCTGTGAGAACCGCTTACGTAATCCATATTTTGTAGATCGCACAACGAACAGAGAGATTCGAGTGTGGATCGATCATCGGGCGTGAGCAGCGTAACGATCATGTACTTGTTAGACTGGAAATTCGCAACAGGTGACACACATGTATAAGGAAACGCGAAGAACCAGCCGTTAAGAAATCTGGGCTCCACGGGATGACTCTCGATCGAATATGGGCTGCTGCGTTCTTACGTGGTTCTCGCAGCGCGAAAATAAAACGCGTACAAAAGCCCCTCCTCTCCGCTCCTCGCCGGTTTGAAAAAAATCACGTCCGCGTTGCAGGCTACGCAGCGAAGATCGCACTCTAGATCGCGCTTGTTCACCGGGAAACTTAATATTCCATTCTATTCCCCGTGTGCGCTCTTGAATTTATCGTAACAGCATCTACCATGTTTATGTAAATGATCACGATGTTCTCCTCGATGAAGCGCGACTCACGAGCCACACTGTATGTAGTCGCACGTGGCTTTCTCTACCGCGGTTTCTTCCTTTCCTTTTCTAGACTTCTACGATTCATGTGGAGCGAAGAGACCTTTCATAAGTAAGCGAGGAAGGAATGATTAAAATAAAATAGTATCGATATGACAGCCGTTTTTTTATTCATTGTAACGGAATGCAAACATGAAATGTTCTGCCAAAAGGAAGTCATTGCCGGAACAGGATTGAACACGACAACACATAACATGGATTGAAACGATATTCGACAACACGATCATCTCAAGATTAATTGGCGGTGATTTTTAAAGCAATCTCATTTGCATGAACCAAAGTCTCTCGAGAGCCTTTATCAATCACGTAAATCATCGAGAATTTGCAAAATCCGTGGCGGAAATACGGGAATGGGCATAGCTGATAGATACGCCAATGAGCAAACCATTTTCCTAATGAATTCATAGGGCAATTTGAAACCAGAATAAACAATCGCTCATCTTTAATCGATGAACTTAAATAAAGCTGTGCCGCATGTTGCCATTAGTATGCACAAAATGAACATACATATAATACATGCAGTTTTCCCGATCCGAATGAGGTCAGACGCGTCGATAACATGTCAAACATCGGTGGAACAATGCTCAAACTTGTTTATAATTGAATGTCATTACGCGACAACCGGTAACATAAAAAAGTATTAACGAGCCTATCTTTCGTTCGCTGCCGACATTTACAAGTACACCGATCCGCCGTGTTTGCGTCATTTACGAATAATTTACGACCGAAATTCAATTAAACGCGGAAAGAAGAGCCTTGGTCGAGATTAACGACTCAATTAATGATCACTAATTGATACCCTTTAGGTATACGAGTGAATCTGAATGATACATTCGTTATTGATGCTTTATGTTACAGCCCCAGAATTTGGTAATGATGGGCAGTTTCCCACAGTGCGACGTGAAACTGTGCGACTTCGAGATCTCGAGAGTGATCTTAGAAGGGACGGAGGTTCGTGAGATTCTCGGGACACCGGATTACGTGGGTAAGCAATCGTTTTTCTTCGAACGGCTTCCTCCCGTTTATATGGTTTTATCGCGGACGATCTCTCGGTATGCCAATAAGAAAACATTAGGATACTTACGGATAAACGAGGTCCCATTCATTTTTCGCATCTTACCGAATTTTCAACCTGTTGGAAAGTATAAATGACCGTGTTTATCAGTTTCTGCATAATGCATCACGCTTGTTACTTTATGTCGCAAGTTCGCCGCGAGCCTGCACAGGTAAACAGATGCGTCGGCACTTTGCTCTCGGTTACTGGTTAATTGCTGCCAATCAATATCCTGGCCTCATGCTAATTGACGATCGGAGTAAGATCGCAAATATAATCGTTATTAATTGACACGTTAGCGATCGAGGTTGTCGGTGTTGTTTTTTTTTTAATAAACGCGTATCAACGACGATCGGTGTGGGACGCGCGGAAACGCTACGGCTAATTGCGGTCGGTGCTTCGAGCCTGGTTATTTTCAGGCATTGATGATCGGCATTGACGTTTCTGCGTGAGATCGAGAAAGAACAGTTATTCGAATCCTATTTCATCAGTCGGCACGACGCGGTCTGCATCGGCGTGAACTTTTATAGGAACCCTTACGAACGAATGGACGTTAGAGATTATTATCATAAATTTTAATTGCTCATGCAATTTACAGTTGGTCACATTTGAATCGAGCTTCGTCTTGGACCGTCATGAATTATTAAAATGCACATGCATTTTTAATTAGAACCGAAGCATAACTCGGTCTCTTTGTTCTCACCGTCGCGCCGCTCTATGCATAAGCTTCGCTCGAGTACAATGTTATGTCGCAGAATAGAGCGCATGGAATTTATTCAACGAGACGCTCTCGGTCGTAGGCTGCATAGTTAACGACATAATTGATGTGCGCTATTAATCCCGTTGATCGTATCGATTCGTCGAATAATAAAACTAGCCCGTATCGTTTTGAATATCTTAATCGAGCTTGACGTTTCTTGAAATGAACAGGGACGGTCCGCCGTGATCGTATCTCGGCGCATTACCCGCGGGAGAGAAGTCGGCTAATAAAATCTCTCTACGGGAACTTCGCAAACCTCGCGGTACCTTAAAAAATGACTGTAATAATCGTGATAAAAATTTTTAATGACGTCGTACAGCAAAATCTCTGGCTACTGGTAATTTGATTATCGTTTAGAGTTTAGAACGTAGACACACCTTTCATCATCAACGCCCACGGCACGGTGCCGCAACTAATTTTCGTTTATACACGTAGTAAACGATACTGCTAGATGACATCACGAATTAAAATGAAAACATTCAGTCAAATAACATCCGCGAATTCGATGATTTTTGTTTGTTTCAGCACCAGAAATTCTCCACTATGATCCTATCACATTGGCCGCTGATATGTGGTACGTAAAGAAGAAAGTTATGAACTTGTTTGAAGTAAACGATTCGAGGTAAGAGTGATTTAATCGTTATAGGTCTCTGGGCGTAACCACGTATGTTCTTTTAACGGGATTCTCTCCTTTCGGTGGCGAAACCGATCAAGAAACCTTTCAGAACATATCCTTAGGCGAAGTAGATTTTCCCGAGGAATTATTCGGCGATATTTCGGCGCAGGCAAAGGATTTCGTTGCCAAGCTTTTGGTGCTGGACCCAAGGTGCGCTACAAAAGCATTCGTATAATGATGAAATGTTGGTTTTCGTTAAATATGTTCGATACAAGAAAGGCCGCATTTATGTTCCAGTGCACGAATGACCGCGAAACAATGCCTGCGTCACGATTGGCTACGCGGCGCACCTACACAAGCGTCGCCGCATCTCAGAAGATACCTATCGAAATCGAGGGAAGTACTACTTGAGAGGGTTGTCAGCCGGGAGAATCTAAGAAGAGCGGCGCTTTTAAGTCAGGCTAGCAGCCAAGCGAATCTCTCGAGCGACGTACACGAATCGAATCATAGCGATCACAGCTTGCAAGATTGTTCGCTGAGTCAAAGCGAGATGTGCCTGAGTCACCGTCTCACTAGAAGCCGATCCAGCCTCGAGGGTAGCGAAGACTTTCCAAGTCCGGCCAATTCTCGGACGAGCTTGAACTCGTCCAGGACCAACTTGAGCTGCGCGAGTCAGAGTTGTTTGCTGAACAAAGAACAGACGCAGGGCTTGCTGAGTCGGGCACAGAGTAGATCGCAGGCAAATTTGAATCATGGCCTCAGCCGAGGACTCCTGTCTAGAATACGAAGCCTGAATCGAATTCAGTCACAGGCTTGTTTGCTCAACGGAAACTCCTCGGCAACCTCGATTTCGTTGCAACCGCGTATGACAATAAATCCTGTAATTAGCAAGTCGCGCGAGAAACTGTACGGGCTGAGATCGTTGTCAAAGTCCCAAGGGGTTTTGAACATATACAGAAGCCTCGAGTGCCTTAGACGTAGAAAGAACAGCTACCAACGAGCAAAAACCGAGGATATGCTACCCATTTTCAAGCGATTAGGTGCTGAAATCGATGCGTCGAGCGAACCGAATGCATCGGTTGCAGTCACGTGTGATATCAATGATCGCGTATCTTACGATGATATTACAAGTTCAATCGAAACTAAAAGGAACGTCGAAGAAGATAAATGCAACACCGAGGCAAAAGTGCCACAGTTGGAGATAAACGCGAACGAAGTTAATAATCAAACATTCGATGTACAGTTGAGGAACGAAATTACAAACAATTTGGAAGTGTCGAGGACACGAGCTTCCGAATCAGAAGAGAATTTAGATTCACTAAAATCAATCGAATCGGACACGTTGACTGAGGACTCAGATGAAACACCGATAAATCGTGAGACGGAACTGAATCTCATATCTGGGAAACGACCCTGCGAACGACAGCACTCCGATGCTTCAAGCCATTCAAATAACTCAGGGACGTCTGATGACAAAGAGGACCGATCAACGGAATCCGAAAACGAGGAGCCAAAATATACAGTCGCACAGCTTGTGTCCGCGTTTAATAAGCACCAGGAGGTCGCCTCTAAGACCAGTTTGGAGGCGATTATGACCGAGAAGAGAGTCAATGAAGTCACTTTCCCGACGGGAACGAAGGCTTTGCGGCTCTTCATACCGGATATTAACATCACTGAGAGCAAAATCGTCAGGCGGAAGACAAGCTACAAGCCGCGAAAGAACTGGGAAAAATTGAGAAAGAAAAATGAGAAAAATGAAGGGATCTTGAAAAACTTTGTCGACTCCGGTAACGAAGATGAGGATGAGTTTAACGACGTCACTGCGAATGACGAAGAGAAAAACAGTGAAATTGCGAAGGAAGAAAAGGAGGAACAGCAGGTACAGCAATCTTCTGATCAGTGGTCGAGTTTACCACCCATCGAAATTAATGGAGATCCTGTTTTTGAGGAAAACGTGGTTCAAAATAATATTGATACGACAATAGATGAAAAATATAAGCGATGCGTCAAAGAAGCTAAGATGAATGCAGTGGAGGCAACGAATGACGAGCTTGCAAAAACGATATCGAACACAATGATGACTTCTACTCGCCAGAAAGAAAGACTGCCAAACTATATATATTCTGAACCTGCGTGCCATATTAAAGACGACTCTCAAGACTCAATTAAGAAAACCGCTTCTATGATTGTGAATGGTAAAGCGAACTCGAAAATGCAGAAGACAGATCGACCCAAGCCAACGTATAATACAGAATGTGCCAATGTAAATTTAAAGGATATTTTGCAAAGGGTAGACAGTTTTCAGAACACTCCAAAGGAAAACTTGGAAAATTTGAGGAAGAGGACATCCATTACCAAAATAATTTTAAACGACAGTTTGCCATACGATAATCATGAGAAGAACGAACGGGCCCGAAGCGAGCCACCTTCTACACTCGCGATCAATCCCAAAGAGGAAGAAGATCATAAAATGAAATTAATAGTTCCACCTTCTTTCGTGAGGTCTTCCTCCTTGTCTAGTGAAAGCAGCTGCCCCACACCATCCAGTGTGCATTCGGACGCGAATACTTCCTGGGAGGATGTACAGAACACTACCTCGAGCGCGTCTTTGGAGAAAGAAGACTCAAGCAAAACTCGAAGAAAAAACGAAGTTCAACGAACTTCGAGCGAGGGAAGACACAAACAATATACAGAAGACAAAAGGCTTTGGGGTAGAGTCTGTACCGGATCATACAGTAGAGCGATGGAGAAATTTAGCAAAAATAACGACGCGAACAGAAAGCCTGTTAGCCAATTGAACGGATTGCAACAGAACGAGAAGATTAGAAGAAAGAGCAGTCCTGCCATGCCGCAATACATCAATCCGTAAAAATAGACTTCTATTTTACGAAGACTGAATCTACAACTAGGCCCTACCTAATTACAGTGACTCAGGCCGGAAAAGTCGAACGGAATGTACGATATAAATTTGTCTACTCTTTGATTGACTGTTGACTGGCAACTTTATTTCTGAAATACTTCTACGAACCACAATGCACGAGACTCGCCATAGTAGTCTTGCCTTTAGACTGGACCAAACTGACGGACAAATGATTTGCAAGCGTGTGTCATCAAATTGTCTCTTGAATGAGAAACAGTAATCTGTCATTAACATCCCACTTGGGCGTCGCGCAATCAAACAAGGCGATTGAACGTGATTGATCGTCATAGTCTTATCCTTGAATTAATCTCCATATTGAGCGATTCTCGACAGCTACTTTTTTTTCGAAGTGCGTAGTTTCGATAGACACGTGGATGCCATGAGATGAAGCGACTAATTTCAACCAAAAAATGGTAATCTTCAGCGAACGGAAAAGGAAGTATCGGTGTAGTCGATTTGAAATTGAAATTAAAGAGGAATTAAGTAGTAGAAAGCTGAGCTTAATCTGTATATAAAATGCGCAATTGAATACTGCATTAAAAAAAATTGCTCACATACGAGATTATCTTTTTACGATACAATTTCTGCCTTTACTGATTATCTTCTACCTAACGTCTAATCGTAAGTAGTTCAATCATGACGCAATTGGTAAATCAAGAATGACAACTCAATTATATTGTAGTACTTGTAGGTGTTTTATTAAAATCGGTATAGCAACATGCTACTTCGTTTAAATTTTAAATGATTTTGGTATTGAATCTTGTATCGAAGACATCTCAATAAAGACTTACCCGTTAAATAACTTGTGTACTTTCATTTTAAACAAGAAAATCAAGGATAGAAATGTTTTGAATAAAAGAAGGTGAATTTCAATTACATAGGCATACGTTTGGTAAAATTAAATTTTATTATAATATAAAACAAGTCAATATTATCGCTCGCATATTATCAGCGATAATAATGTTAATATACACAAAATAATCGCAGTTTCTCGTGACTCTCATGTCACTTATTCCCATCGACTCTTTCTCACTCGCTTTCTTTCCCCTCCCGTATTCGAGGCTTGATTTTCCTGAGTCTTCGATTGTTCTGTATTTGGTTTCGGGGGTACAGGTGGTGGTGGTGGCATTATTACCGAAGGCCGCGTGATAGTTTGCTCCCACGTGTGATCCGATGATGCCCGAAACTGTAACAAAATTCTCATTTTTCCAACTGCAATTCGATTTACATACTTGGAACAAAACAAAACTGACCTGAGAATTGTACTGACTGCGAAACGCGGCTTTCATAGCTGATAATCGATCGCTACCAGGCCCGTGTCTTTCTAACTTTTTGACAACCTCGCTTATATCTTTCGATCCTTGCGATGAGGAACCACCGCTCTAAACAAAAATGCAACGATATTTGGAACGTTATGTTAAAATCGTATGGAAATTTTAATAGATGCATACCGAGGACGTCGAGGAAGCCGAGGAAGCTTCTGGTCTTCCCCTAAAACCAAGTCCAGCTCCTCCGACATTCAAACTCTTGCCTTTTCCGCCTTTGAATCGTGATTTCCGGAACCAAGCACTTTGCATTGCTAGATCCATAAGACTCTTTGGTACTTCTTGATTCGCACCTTCCAAATTTCGAACTAGGTGGCCTGCGAACTCTTTGTCTTTTTCTGTGACAAGGGTATATGCTGTACCTTTCTCGCCAGCTCGACCTGTTCTACCTATCCTGTGAGTATGAGTGTCGATATCTCGCGCGACATCATAATTAACGACAGTTCTGATATGTGGAATGTCTAAGCCTCGAGCTACAAGAAATTAAAACGAGTTTCAAAAGAACGTCATACGACGCGGACTCGATACCACGCTAAAGCGATAATTACCGGCAACGTCAGTAGCAACCAAAGTACTGACTTCCTTTTTCTTAAAAGCAGTTATTACTTTGTTTCTTCCAAGTTGATCCATGTCACCGTGTAAAAGCATTACATCGAATTCTTTTAATTTAAGATTGTTAGCGAGTTCTTCCGCATTGAGCTGGATAGAAAATAATATTTTAACAAAACTCTTTTTTTCGATTAATTTGCTTAAGTATGAATATAATTGCCGACCTTTTTGGTTACGAATATTAACAAGCTACCAGCGCTTAAAAATTCAACTAAGTTTTGTAATAGCCAAGTCCATTTCCCGGTTGGATTATTATTAAATACTATCACGTGCTGAGTGACATCGGTGTTGGCTTCACCGACGTCCCCTTGGACTATTCTAACCGGATCCGTTAAAACATCCCTGGCTAGTTTCTCTACCCTCTTTTTAAAAGTTGCGCTGAACAACAACGTTTGCCTGTCTGGCCTTACGTGGTTGCATATAGAACGCACTTGCGGCTCTGAAATGGAGCAGAGCGATAAGAAACTGAAAATAGTTACTCGGCGATTGCGTATATAACTAATTCAAGTTTTATACGGTGCAGGGTCGGAAAATTAGCTACTACATATTAAAAGACTGGAGTATTTTATAATAGTAAACGGTCTTATACAAATTAAGCTCATATTTGATAATGCTACCTAATTTTCCAATTCTGCATAACACTTTTCACAGCATATGCTTACCGAAACCCATATCAAACATCCTATCAGCTTCGTCCAATACTAGAAAAGATACTCTAGTCAAATTTGTCGCTTTCATTTTAACTAAATCTATCATTCTGCCTGGTGTTGCGACTACTATTTCTGCACCTCCTTCCAATGCTTTACTTTGTTCCCATTTACTGCCACCGCCGTAGCAGCAACACACTTGAATATTATACACTTTGCCAAACTTTCTCGCTTCTTGATAAATCTACGAATATGCAAGCGTGTTGGTTGCAATTGGGCATATGCCACAGATTACCTTAACGCGATAAATACCTGTTGAGATAATTCTCGTGTCGGGGCAAGAATTAAACCGATAGGCCCGTCGCCTGCTTTTAATTCTCTTTGATCCATAATATGAACCAACATCGGCCAAATGAAGGCTGCCGTTTTACCGCTTCCGGTTTTTGCTATACCTATTATATCCCTGCCGCTCAACGCAGCAGGAACAGCTTGAGCTTGAATAGGTGTCGGTTGCGTGTACTCATTTTTTCTAATTGCTTTTATTAACGGATCGTCAAAACCGAAATGAGCGAAACTAGTAACTGGATTAGGAGGTGACGGGCCGGACACTTTAATTCCCAAAGTTTTTCTCAAATCATCGATCTGTTGTTTACTTAAACTAGCAATCTCATCGTGAACGTTATAAAAGTTTTTCTCGAACGGCTCGTATTGTATCTCGCTATGGTCTATAGGTGGCAACGGATCAATATCTTTCTTTTTCGGAGGTGCAATAGGATTGCCATCCTCGTCGTATTCGATTTCTTGGTCAGATTCCTCTTGTAGCAAACCCGCAGTTGGATTCTCTTCCATGTACCTTTTTAAACGATAAGTTTGATATTACAATTGTATTTCCCGAAAGATACAATTCTCTCTTGTGTCCTTCTCTTATGCACATTCAAATGTAATACCAGGTCACAGAATTTAATTGATTTTCTATTTCTATATGGAATCGATTAATTCGAATTTTATACTAGTCTTTTGCTGCTAAATGTTGTATTTTCAATAGAATTAATAGTACCTTACCTATAATAACTCTCTTCGTCGTCTTCGCCATCAATATCCGCTCTGAATCCCTTAGTCTTTTCTTCTTTTCGTTCATCTTCAGCAAGTTGTGATTCATAGGTATTCTTTTTAACTTCTGCATCTATGCCAGCCATAAACGCATCCAGGGGATCCTCTTCGCTATCGCTATCCACTTTAGGTGCTGATTTCTTCATCCAATCATTTGTTGGTGATCCAGGTGCTGGGATATACTCCAAGGAAAATGGTGGAGGATCATCGTCATCCTCAAAATATCTAATTTTACATGTTACCTTTACCATCTGTTCTCTCTGTATCTCTGTATCTTTCATTCTCACTTATCTACTCACTCTTCTTCAGTTTTACTACGCTTTTTTGGCATTCCCCAACATGCAGATAAGGCATTCTCAGTGATAGAATTCATAGTATGATATCCCTGTTTACTTAGGGTAGAATTTGGTGGAGGTGGTGGTATATTAGAACCAGCTCTCTTTGTACCAGTCATTTGAAAGCCAGCAAACCCAAAGCCTTTTGGCTTATTTCCCCCTCCACGATGGTAACTCATGTTTATTTGTCTGCTAAAATGTAATTATTTTAATTTATATATTCTAATTTTACACTAAAAAAGTCAATAGTCCAGGCATATTTTATTATCTTCACAAGTTGTTATTAGTTGACCTATTTTCTGATACAACTATAGATATTTAAATGTAATGCAAGCAAAATGTTACAATTCTTACAAATTAAGAGATGATACTATCAAAAAAACTATAATGTTGATAAATTCTGAATCATGATAGAAACACACATACATGTATTTTATGCAGTCTATGATGCTAGCTTATTACAACAGCAAAATAATTGTGAAAAACATGAGAATATGTTTAATATCAATGTAATATCATATCTACAATATCAAATGATTTTGTCTAACGATAACAATTATTGTTTGTATTTGAAAGCAGAGGAAGAGGTTAGAACATTGTTAGAATCCACAAATTTAACGCATAACTTTGAGGCAGGTACAATTTTCAAAGGAACACTGTTTCACTGTTCAGCTGATATTTTAAGAGCATTACGTGAGATTGATCTACCTTGCGCAAATCTCCTTCAACGAGTTATTTCACATTTAACGAAATGCGACTTCAAATACTCCGAATATCGAACGGTAAAGTTACATACTGCAACAACTTGGACGGTGCTGCCTCCATGTGAAGCCATCGCTGTTCCAAATGGCACTGTCCTCCGATGAATGATTCATGTAGAACTCATTCTTTTAATAAATAGATATAATAAAATACATTGCGCAACTTCTACATCTTATTTAAGCAACCTTTGATACTATCATTGACATTATACCAACTATTTTATTGTTTATTATAATCCTTGAAACTATAAGAACATAATTCTATTTGGTACCATTTTCTTACTTCTTTATTCATCGGTATATACATTCAAATATAATAGACCATAATTAATTGCGTCTTGTTAACGCGTTAGAAAATTAGCATAACTTGATTGTAAAATATCAATAACAAGTTTTATAGAGCTGAATTGCGGAAGGATCATCAGATAAATCAGAAACGGAAGCAATTTCCGTATGTTGATTAGAAATGAAGATGGACTGCAGGGCACGTTTTCTTAAAGCGCGTTTAATATTTCATAAATTTCGATTAAGATGATCTTCATTCATACTCCCGTCATGGAGTGACATAAATAATTTTATCACCGCTGAATCGATCGAACATCCGAGTCTGCGTGTTGGCGGAGGCGCCATACAACTTCTTCGTAGATTTTAGAGTCTGTCGTGCTCTCTTTCCCGTCACAGTTTGGATTTCCATCCTGAGCGATCTGATATCGAATAATCTCAAATACGAACGTAAGTAGCCTCGTGTAAGTAGAGAAATTATTCCCTAAATCAATCAATTAATATTGTGCGCTTGTCAAAGCGAATATCCATTCTCAAATGCATTCTTTATCAGTAGATTGTTAGCAATTTGTTCATTGAATGAGTCGTAAACGTGAAACTAATTAAACTTGTAAAATGCGTTGCAGTTTGTGTGGAAGAAAACATATCCCAACATTCTTTGTTTGTTATAAAAATATTTGCAACAATAATTTATTTTAAGGCGGACGAAATGCCTTCGGTTCGTCGGATGATCCTTGGTCACGTTATGTCCGGCTTGCACAACAAAATGAATCGCACAAAGAAGTTTAAAGGTGATATACTTGAAACTCGAATGAAACGATGTCTCTCCACATTCGACATCACGCTGCTCGGCAAGTATATCCTCTTTGGTGCCATTTGAATCATAAGTACATGCACGGTCGCTACTCGCGATATCGCAATTCCGATAAAGTAGTCCCTGAATCGGAGAAATGTTAACCGCATCTCCGCAAAAATGGTATCTCGTTTCCCACTTAATGTGCACCGCACTTAAAATTCTCGCGGTGTTTTATGACTTTTGTGCATGACCGCGGTCATGATTACCTTGCAGGCGTGGGACATATGGTTGGCGCTGGAATTTACGTTTTAACCGGAATGGTCGCTCACAATTTAGCTGGTCCAGGCGTAATATTGAGTTTTCTGATAGCTGGTGTAGCTTCTTTATTAGCAGCGCTGAGTTACGCTGAATTCGGGGCGCGGATACCAAAAGCTGGGAGCGCTTACATTTATACATATGTTACGGTCGGAGAATTCTGGGCTTTCGTAATTGGATGGAATATTATATTAGAACATATGATTGGTAATGTTGATTTTTATGGACTACGTCTGTTTTGCCGCATAAAACTCAAGAATATTTTACAATCCGGGAATAGGCGCGGCATCCGTGGCCAGGGCCTGGAGCGGATACGTCGATTCATTGGCAGGAGGTGCAATCAGCAATTACACGCGACAAATAACGCACGGGGGTACCATGGGAGACTTGATGTATTACGGGCTTGGATCTGTCCCAGATTTCCTAGCCGCTGGATTGTGCCTGGCTTACGCGATGCTATTAGCATTGGGCGTTAAATGCTCGGCAATGGTTAACTCTTTACTCACCATCGTCAACTTATGCGTGATGGCTTTGGTGATCGGTCTAGGATTTTTCTACGCGAGAATTTCTAACTGGAGTAGCGAAAACGGAGGATTCCTGCCTTACGGCATGGGAGGGGTGCTGGCAGGTACTCAAATACTCTATGCTCCGTATACATGTATTTATTCGCCACAAAATCAACTTTTTTATTTACCTTCCTCTAACTCACAAATAGGCGCGGCACCATGCTTTTACGCGTACGTGGGATTCGACTCAATCGCAACTTCCGGTGAAGAAGCACGCGAACCTATGAAAAGCATACCGCGAGCGACATTAGTTTCGATGGCAATGGTAACCGTCGGATACGTGTTGGTTGGCGCCGCTTTAACTTTAGTGGTGCCGTATTGGGACATCAAACCCGCAGCAGCCCTTCCCGAAGCTTTTGCCTCGAGGGGAGTACCGTGGGCTAAATACGCGATAAGGTCAGGAGAACCTTACAAATAATTCTCGTCTATCTTCGATGTGATACCTTTACTGGAATAACTTATTGCGCGTTACGTGCGCACAGTGTTGGAGCTTTGTGCGGAATGACGACAACCCTTTTCGGATCTCTTTTCGCATTGCCTCGAACAATGTACGCGATGGCGAACGATGGTCTGCTTTTCGGATTTCTGGGCCATATCAACGAACGCACCCAAGTTCCGGTCCTCAACTTGGCAATCAGCGGTGCCCTCAGTGCCTTAATCGCTTTACTCTTCGATCTTCAATATCTAGTCGAATTCATGTCTATCGGCACATTCCTGGCCTATACTATAGTTTCAGCGAGCATAATCGTTCTAAGATATCGCCCTGAAAAGAATACACCACCACCGTCGAATGCTGGTACACCCAGTAGTGTAACGTCACCTCCCACCGAGGGACCCGATTCCAACAGCGATTGCAATAGCGTTATATCTGCAGAATCCGAGGTGATTTCATTCGTGGAAGAGAACAAAGCAATATCAAGTTACATCGTTCACTGTCGCTTTTGTAACTTTTACATCCTTTACAGCTCCTCGATTTGAGCGAAGGTACTGGTAAACTTAAACCACGGTACGTTTGGTTGGGTAACTTCTTGGGCAATTGCAAACCAGGAGATGCAGTGACCGGCGCGGTAGCAATGTACGCAGCTGGTTGTATTTCCCTTTATCTTTCATTATTATTGATATCCCAAGCGTACATCGTACCATCATGGTGGGACTATTTAGTCCTGGTAATCGTTGTTCTGGTATTGGTTGGAAGTAAGTTTATTTTTTAAACAGACAACTGTTTTAATATTACGTACGTTTCTAAACTAATCGAGAACGATCTTAGGCCTGCTCGTTATCGGTGCGCATCAACAGAATCCTCCGACTGGCAAATTCCGCGTACCCATGGTGCCTTTAGTACCAGCGCTCAGCATTTTGTTCAACATAGGACTTATTTGCCGCTTATCTTTTCTAACATGGTTCCGATTCCTCGTATGGATGGTAATCGGTAGGTGAACGGATAATCTTGTTTGTCATGCTTTACGTAACCACTGAAGCATCCACGTTCCTTTTAATTTGTCTTTTCTTTGTTACAGGCATGTTAATATACTTTCTGTACGGAATTCACTACAGCAAAGAAGCATCGAGTCCGAATTCGTATTCGATTTTGATGGCGACATCGGAAGCTGGTCGGGGTGCAAAATGGGGTGCCACGTTACGGGTGAACAAGAAAAACGATAAAGTTCCGATCTTGAATGAAGAAGATTTCGTGCACTAGGAGTGTAAAGGTTCAACGGAATTGTATAATAAAGCATGCCAATCGATGGGAAATGTAAGTAAATTATATTATGTAGAAGAGTTAGAGTTCATCTAATCGTTGTTTTCTTACATGCGTACTATTTGAAATCGAAATTAAAGCGTGAGAGAACTTTGTAAATAATACCAATACATAAAACGACACTTTGTTAAGAAATATCAAGACACTGGATGTTGGAGGGACTTAAAAATAAGCAAGACTGTGTTTCATTAGCGACTAACGTTAATTAATTTTTGATAAATTGTTATACTACACATTCGTGTATCAGAATTTAAGGATTTATTGGCTATATAGTCAATCCCAAAAGTTTATGCACTTTAGAAACGCATTTTTTAAAAAGAAATCAGACGTCGGAAGAACATTGCTAATAATAAACAACAAAAAAAAATTTTTCGATTTTTCCGAGATTTTTCCAAGGGGTACACCTTCAATTTCTTCCAAATTTTCGTCAGCGTCAATACTTAATTGGATATTTCCTTCTATACTTTTTAGCACGTAGCTATTTATTATTAGCATTATTCTTCCGACGTCTAATTTCTTTTCAATTATACGAAATGCGTTTTTCTAAGGTACATAAACTTTTGGAATTGACTGTATAGCCAATACATCCTTAAGTATTTGACATAGTTCAGTCTCGTTTCTACTTACTTACGCACAATTATGATACACACAATTTTTACTTACTTTATAAAGATGAACAATCATTATACATACATGCGCTTTGGCGCAGACACTCTGTATACGTGCAAAATTCAATTATCTGTGTATGTATTTCGTTAGATATACATACATCGACGCATTTAATTCTATATAAAAACAATAATGTTTGTCCCACGCAACAGTAAAACTCGACCGATTTTAAAGTACTTATATTCTCGCAATTTGAATTTTCAAGACGCTATGGATAGAAATTATAAAAAGTTTCTTGTATCAGTGCACTGATCTCTCATATAGAACACTGGATTGTGCGTTTGTTGTCTGTCATTTTGACACACAACACACTGATATTTCCTAATACATATGTGTGGTCCTCCCCGTGGCCACGCTTACGAGAGACGCGGCACGGCATGTACGCAACGTACATTATCTTTCTCGAGACAAGTAGTTCGGCCGTAGCCATAAGCAAATAAAATTTCCGTCATTCGAAACGAAGAAGCGTCCTCTTTAAAATCTCGTTTGATTCTTCTCGATCCGATTTCCGGTTCCGGTGATATCGTCATTTAAAGGCAAGCATAATCTTTTCGGCGCCGTTATTGTTGTTCTTCTCGTACGTCGACCGACTGACGGACCTACCCTAATCTCCACCAACCGGTCTAGTCTGTCTAGACATCCAGCTGATACACGAAAGTAGGTCACTGTGTCACAGACGCTGCACCTAAACATTGGAAGCCTGTATCTCCGGAATAGATTGAGATATCGCGATGAATCACAAGCGATTTTTTTCATCTTGATTTCCTCCAGGAAGTTTCCAGTGTTCTATATAAATCAGTGTATCTATAAGTTTGATATTGTAATAAAAGGAAGAAATAATGTATTTTTAGAGACTAGTTGTTGGAAAAGGTTGATTAATTAAGAAAACTGATTCACCTATCGTATGTGATCGCATTAAAAAGTATTTACTAAAAGTATGAATTGCTAGATAAATCACAATTACGTCTTCTGAGATACACTATCGCTTTAGTAACTGTTCTCGTAGATAAAATCGATTTTACGTATTTATAACATACCCATTGAAACATAAAATTGACATATATTTTTCGAACTATAAAATAACTCTCGGATTAACAGTCTTCATTTACGAGCTTCTATGATTTTTTACATTAACAATATTTAATAAACGTCTTATGAGTAACAAATATTGTATTAAATATTGTACTATAGCTTAAACGATTATTTCCCGTGTAATTTAAGTATGTTGGTTTAAAAGTCCTCCGGTCATTGTCAGCAGATCCAGCAAAGATAAATCATAGAAAAAGATGATATAATTAGTATTACGAGAAATACTTTTATTGTCAAAGTGCCGTAGATGTTGCATAGATGTAAAATATCGTAGTAAACATCGTAATCACTTCGTACATATAACATTTGAGGTGAATATTTATTGATTGCTAAAGTGCATCGCTTGAAATAAATATTTCCAGACGCAAAGAAATGTTTCAAATAGGTAGTTATGTATCTAAGAATAGCTGTAGCAAGAGTTACATTATCGAGTAGACTCCAAATGTAATAACGTTTCTCAGTACCCAGTTGTTCTATTTGAAACATTCCTTTCTCCCTCGAAATATGTAAAAGATCTTCGAGTCGTTCGTATAAAGTTATTATTCTTGCAATAGGCAACGTGTAAGAAAAAAAACAAATTTTCTTCGCAGTGAAGATTAATCATTACCTTGGGCGCAAAATGATGAGCGCATCGTATGCACAATTGTTAAAATATGTATATTGTACAGGAAGTTAATTTTTGATGGTCCCATAAATTCGTAAAAGATTAACAGTCGCAAGAAACTGTAAGTACAATTATAATAAAAAATAGTGAGCAGTAATAATGCAGTTGTGTAAAAAATGATACCAAACATTGTCAGTGTTCTGTATTGTATATCTTCCAATACGAAATATTTATTATCGAAAAGTCCCACTAACGATAATTGATGTTTCATTTTATATTTTCATTTCAAAGTAAAAAATTAAAAAACGAACATTAATTCCATAAACGATATTCGATTCCATAGTATTTCTTTGATTGTTGATTAAACCTTCTCGTAAGAGTAATTAATGTCGTGTTACAACAAAGATTTACGAGTAAGTACAGAAGTATCGATCAATATAAAAGGAACCTTACACCTGATACGTAATATGTAAGAACAATTCTGAGATCCCTGAGTAAAAGTGTGCAAAATGTTCACTAAATATATTCTATCAGCTTCGTCCGCGCACATCGTACGGAGTACTGAAATACTGAAAATCGTGAAGTTCAAGACCTACTCTTGTTCCATGAGACCGATGCGGACTTCGCTGTGGATGCTGAATCGACTATGGCCGTAAATATTGTCCTCTTTTTATTATAATTTCTTTCTATTATAATTTTTATCTTTAATAGTGAGTTAATTTTAAAATGTATTGAGAATTAAGATTATTGTAAAGATACAAATCACAAGACGAACGACGTCTTCATCAACTGACTGCAACACACGAACGCGCAGATGCATTATTTACAAATTATAAATCGGCACAATTGAATAAAATCAAATACAAAGAGAAAGGTACTGAATTTTAACGAAGATCATTGGACTAAATTACATTCCTAATCTTCAGATGTTGCAGGTGAAATAAAAAATGATGAAGTACTTTTCGGTCACGGATTTCGTTCTTAAAAATGTTTTTAAAAAATATTTATGTTCGTGTATATCTATACACTTAAATACGTACTGTGGATATTACTACATTTTCTTTAAGGCTTATTTCGCGATAAAATGGTAATTATTAAAATGCATATATTAATAAACTTTTTCTCTCTTTTTCTATCTATATGAATAATTATCAAAATTACTGTGTAAAAGAGGAGGGGAAGAAATAAAACAAAGTGGTTTATATGTAAAACTTTTATTAACATCATGTACTCTATACTGATTCAAAAGCACTGCGAACGACCGCAATTTTTGTCGTTAAATTATAAAAAGCCAATAACAGTAAGTATAGATAGCAAATCAGTGCATTATCACATCGTAACTACATTAGATCACTATCCTTCATGGAAGGATAAGAATATAAATAAAAAAAATTTTTATTTATTCAATGTGGCGATACAGTAATAAGCTGGTAGTGGAACAATACTGTTATCGAAACCACATCAAGCTGCGATTATCGCGTATATCCTAAACAGAATTATATGTATGGACGCAGCACTTGCTTAATTTATTATTGTACTAAGATGTGAAAGAATATCGTATAAATTCTTGTACCAAATGGAATATTAAATTATATCAACGCATATCGCTCATCACATTTACAATTTGTCATGTAAAAAACAGTAGCCAAACACAGCGAAAGGGGAACGTGAAACCAGAAAAAATTCGGTTAATAAGATTGGAACACTTGATGAGTGTATGGGAAATTATCCGGACACACGGCCAAGATATTTAATTCCTACTGTTAACTTATTTAATTTGTACAGATTCTTAATAATTACAGGTACCATATTAAGAAGTTGATCAATGCTGATTCTACACTGTTATCTGTTCTGTTTCGCAAGTATAACTTTCCAAGCAGACATTGATCTTGTTTGTAGGAGGTCGATTTTCCGTCGACCCCACCTGAGCCATGCAAATCCAATGATTAAACATAAGATACTTTCGACATAGTAGCCATCAAACTGCATATTACAAATACCATTGTGCGTATTCGTACAGAGCTGGAAAAATATATTTAATTTTTACATTTTCGAATTTCAATGTAAATTAATATCTCACGATAACAAGGCGAAATACCAACTTCTCTTTTTGAAATTGTGCTACAGTCATTCGATGGATCAGTGCTGCACTGTCGGAATGTTAATGGGTCGACGAACCAAAGAGCAGCCGTTGCCGGCCAATTACCTCCCAAATTGGATAGAGTATTTAATAATGTCATGTAAGTACCACCGACTGCAGGATCGCTAATTTTTGCGAAAAATGCCATCGACGCTACGAACATACTACTTGTGAAAACCTGTGAAGAGCAGAAATAATGTGGATATATTTATCTTCACATATCACAAATCTTTCTAAATGATCGTTCATTTTTCTATATTACCTGATGTATCAAGTATAGAATAATTAGAAGTATAAAGTAGTAGATTGGCATCTGACCACCTGTTACAACGTATGGTGTTAGCCACACCAAAAATGCTGCCACTAAGCCAAAAGCTAATCTAAAAAATCAATTGTAAATGTTGTATATTTGTCGTTTTATATAAAAAATGTTTCATATAGTTTTCTCTCTAATCACCTGTAAGGCATAGCCATTATATACACATTCATTGGTCTTGGACCCACTGTATACTTTGAAATTGCTAATGGTAATAGTATTTGTAATGGAATCATAGGTACGGCCATAAGAGCGAATTTTTCCTTAGGTATACCAGCTTCCACTAACTTTAAACCTGTTACAGCGTCACAAGCAGAAAACCCGATCTGCAGATGAAGCAAAATTACATTATTAATAGTGACACAATGATCGTATACTACTAACACACATGTGTATCACCTATACATCATGTAACAATTATCTCTCTAACCTTGGCAGTTAATAAAACTACAATAATGGTCTTTATTGATGGTAATCTGACAATATTCCAAAGTAATTTATAGGCATGCTTAATGTTGGTATTCAGTTCTTCTTCTTTATGCACTTTCTCTAAGTTTTCGTGCTTAAACAATGCAAGCAAAGTTGTTGTAATTATAAATATCCAACCCCAAAGATAAAGGAAATCTATAGGAGAAAATGAGCTCTATTTAGGTCAATGTTTTAACTCTTAGCGAACTATGTAGCTTATAGGCAAATAACATATACATATGTAGCTTACCAGGCAGAGTCAGAATGCCTTCACTGGCTGGGGTAGATCTTAAATAACTATTACAAAATTCAGCAGACTCGAGTGCCATGAAAAGTACGTAACCAATGAAATATCCAGCAGTTTGTCCCACACTATTGCACGTTGATGCATATCCTACATTGCATCTGCATATACAATGCATTTTTTAGTGAACTTATATCAGATTTTATAAAGCTATAGATTAAATTTATACCTTTTCAACATAGTCAGTGCCCACCCATCTACTACAATATCTTGCGTGGCAGCCAAGACATTTAATGCAAAAAATATAATAGTCAGCATTTCTATATTGGGGTTTGTGGTTTTATTACCCAGCCATTGGTCTACACGACTGGACAATAAAAGCATAAAGAATCCCATTAAATACTGAGTTGGAATTAACCATGTTTTCCTCCTTCCAAATTTTTGAGAAAATGTGGAATCTACTATTGGTGCCCAGAAGAGTTTCAAAGAAAAAGGCCATTGGACAAAACTGAATTCAGCCTAGTAATCAAATAATATTTGTATAATTCAAGTTTAATCTATCAAAAGTTGTACGTAATAAACAGAACCTCGCGCAAATTACCTGTTGACGATACGAAACGTTTCGGTTCTGGAGTAACATAGGAATAGAACCACATAAACCCAATGGTATTCCTTGTAATAAATATAAAAATAAAAGTATTGCTATATTCTTCTCGTCGCCCCGTAAGTCCGAGCGTTCATGCACGTGATTCGTTTCGTGGACTCCATCCTCCACAGTGCAATCTCTTTCCATTTTCCTTTTGGTAGCCATACAGAATGATAAAAGAGATCAGCTAAAATCTCTTATCAACGAACTTTCCACAAAAGTACAGCTGTTCCTTTTACACTGGCGTCAAGGACCGAACTTTTAATGTTTACTTTTAATTACACTATTAAACATTGCGGACGCTAGATCTCATAATTAACAATACGCTATCCTAAATTGCTTCAACGTAGATCTTCCAATTAAATTATAAATAAACATTCTTAAACGGAAGAATCACGCAACCGAATAAATTATTTATACTGACTGAACTATCACTGTTGACGTGGTTAATACTGTCATTACCCACATATAACCTTCACTTACAGCATGTAATATAAATTACAACACGATACCGTAATTGTAAAAGAAATTGACAGACGAAACTCTGTCAGAATAAATTTATATTTAAATATGTTACAGACGACAATTATTAGACGGCATTGAAAATTATGTCGTTTTTATTAACGTAGCTAAAAATCGTGTGCAGAAGATGCCACGTTGTTCCTCATTAAAGACACGTCAGTTCGTCAGTTCAATCGCATATATGTACACACAACTTATATGTTGTCGGAAGACTCCATCTAGCGATGAAATTCTAGAATTGCAGGAAATTATGAATCAATATAAGAAAAATATCAAAATTAGACGAAATTTCTAAACTTTCGCATTAAATTATTTATTGACACCATTTGTTTACAAAACTAATGGTCCGTTTCTTAATATGTAGATAAATATGGGTACACATTATATTTTGCCTATTCATTCGATCCATCCAACCACTCTAAATAATCAAGTGACCGGTTTTGAAATTAAAAATGAAAAACAATTATACAGTTGAACCTACGTCTTATTTTTGAATTTAGGATTTACTCTTACATTCATTACACTTATAGATATTACAATTTACTCCCTCTGAAGCAGCAATTACCGTTTCTGTAAATTTTCTAGCTTCATTACTTGATTACTTGGATTATTCTGGGACCTGTAATGAAATAGTATAAGGTTTTTTATTTGTATTTTTACGTTACTAGAGTTACGTTAGTAATAAGAGAAAAATATATACAATGGAGAAAGAATAAGTCTAAACGGTGGACTCCATGTGAAAAAATTATCTTTCTTATGATTAACTTTATTTTGCACTTTACATGTTGCTCTACCAAAACATAAGGTAAAAGCAAATACTTCGTTTTTGACCTCATCCTGATTAACGAACATGCAAAAATATAATATTTAAAAACTAATCCTTCGATTAGAATTATAAATATACCTTGATAAGACTTTTCTCGAAAATTCGTCCGCGAATTAAATTATCCAGAAACTGATCTTTATTTTCAATATCCGAGTTCGATCGCTTTCTTCTCCCTGATACAGCGCCAAGTGGAAGAAGAACAGGATTTGTTGCTAATGCAGCAGCCGTTGCAATTAAGGCAACACCTGCTAAAGCTTTTAAAGCTACAGCCTGTAATTAAAACAATACCGCATATAAAATTATTAAAAAATGTATCACACATAAATTTAGTTAACAGTAATTACTACTTTTTGCGTTTGAAGATTTGGATGCGCAGGGGCGTTTATTTCGGGGTAGTTTGGTTCCACAGATCCGAATTCATCTCCATTAGCTAATGTCCCTGAAATTCCTCCATAGCCAGATGGTCGATTAAAACCATATCCTCCATTATTACCATATCCATATCCTCCAGAACTACCGTAAGCATAACCATTAGGCTTACGTGTACCTTCGTTTCCATAACTCGGCGTCGGACTAAATCTGATATTTTGTAAAATTACAAGATGCAATAATAGAATAAAAAGAAACAGTAACAATGCTAAAATTAACGAAATAATTGATTACCTATCTCCTACGTAACTCCCTTCAATGAAAGTTTCAGTATTCCAGTTTCCGGTTCCTGGTCGTCCCATACTTCCGGTTGAACCTGGTGGTTGCCCTTGAGTTTGCCATGCGTATCTGCGCAATGTAATTCTCGATACTAAATTTCTCTTTCACGGATTAATGACACAAAGTCTTGCTGAAAGATTAAATTAACATTTAATAAATAAAACACGCAAAAGATTACCTGTCTGCGGGAAAGCGACTGCCGACTTTGGTAGAATAGCCAGGTTTCTTATTGCTATACCAATCGGGCCGCGTTGATGAACCGGAACTGTATCTGGATTCGCAGCAACTGGAACTTGCACATTTTAATTTATCATAACGAAAATGTTTCAAATGAATGTTTTAAAAATCACTTTTTTAGATATTCGACTTATCTTTAGATTTTGCTTCCGATCGATTATTCGTTGTACGCGGTAGCTTATCCGAACTTTTATCGAATCCTTGTACCTTGTCATTTGGATGTGATGTTTTGGAAGAATCTCTAGCACGTATAATACTCGCCAGTAATGTATTTTCAGGAGGCACAGTAGATTCCTCGTTCTTCACAAAAACACAGTGAACGGTAATAGTTGCTAGAAGAACCCAAATGAATCGCGACGACATGCTCGTGGGAAATATGATCAGCCACATTCGTTAAAGGTAGACGAAGGTTTCAAATATAAATCTTAAAGCGTAGAAGGCAGGAGTAAAAGTAGTCCCTTCTATGAGTTTCACCTTTTTATATAGTTGTCACGCATGGAATATTACCGCACATTAGTTTCTCAGGACTGGCATCAGTTTTTTCTATCGTTACTACAATTGAAATCAAATACGTGGAAAACTCCGATAATTTTCTATCTTTTTAGTTTTCTTTAACTTATTAGACATTTATCGTTTTTGTTTTACCGTTTGTATTCATAAGTTGTACAAATAAAAACAGTCTATTCAATAAGAATTGCTCACAAGTATAAGACTGCGTCCCTGTAAATCACGAACCGTGAACAAAAGATGTGCTGTTGAAAATAAAAGTGTCACGAGTGAGCCAACAATATTCTTACGGTCACGCCAGGAGTTTAATTGATGTTTGTTGCCTCAACTTTACGTGAAATTTCGTAGAATTTGATAGAATTCGTTAATCACATTACTACCGTTTCAAGAAAAGAAGAATAAAAAGATTGTATATGAATTTACTAAAAATTCTTAAATTAATGACATGTACAAATTTTGTACATCTTTTGCACTTCGATTAACGTTCAGATGTTAGTTATTGTTACTTATAGTCTTGTAATCGATACTATATACTTTGATGCATATTAATAGAATAATTTCCCTTAGTGTTTAATAATAGAGTAATATCCCTTACTCTTCTTGATTATAAATTTATATATACGTTCTTTCTTATATTTTTTAAAAACCTTCACTAAACACGATTATTGACAAACCTTACATAGGCTTTGTCCTTCTGACACACTAGATTTTTGTTACAAAGTACAATAGAATGATTTGTTCCGCCTAGACATTTACCAAACCGGAGACCGAATCAAAATTAGTGACCATACGATATTGCGTTACAATACATTACAAAATTTGTTTCTTATCGCAAGATTCATTATGAAAATGAAAAAACGCATGATCATACATAAAGCACGTCTTTAGAATAAAAAAACTCTATTCAAATGCAGTAGTGTCATTTATGGCTTCCGATCGGGATTAGGTTTGGCCATACATATCCGTGGTTTGCTTACGATTAGAATCGCTCGTCAATCGAGCGCGCAGCATTGGTAAAAGTAAACAGTATAAATCGTGCGAGCGCGACAATACTTTTCCACGTTCGGTACTTTCTTCATTGTTGAAGAACAGCAGGAGCTATACAGAAGGTATTATCCTCTGGGGCTCCCATTCCTAACACAGGTCATACGTACCTACTTCAAGTGGCTTAGCCGCAACAGGACCTCCTACTGTGCTTCCCATTCCCATCCTTACTCCGCAAGGGTTAATAAATTTTTGAGTACAATATTTAAAAACCTAATTAAAATCGACCTCATGCGTCAAGGATAAATGAAATCGTCTTGAAAAGATTAAATAATGAGGTAAGAAAAAATTCTATCAAAGGATGTGGCCGCTTGAACCGTGCAAGTTCCGTACATAAATTTTTCTTGTATCCTTCATAAGTTAAGAAATACAAGTCGTATGTGTAGACAACATTTACGATCAAGAAACTTTTAAGCTTTTTACTTTGAACGATGAGACACCAGTGCATGGCTTTGAACGAAACGCGTGGTTTCGATTCTATTTTATTTTAGATTTGATAGAAAAGTAATGCATTTTAAAGTAACAAATTTTCCCGTAAATCTGATATAGGAAACCTTAAAATAAAGAGAAATCTCCGCTTTTTATGCAAAGGGTCTGAAGAGCGCGCAGGAGCATTACGGGGCTAATTTGAAGAAAAAAAGGGGATGCACGGATGAGAAGAGAGAGAGAGAAGAGATGGAGAAAAAGGATGGTGGAGCAAGGGTTGGCGGGGTGACAGGAGAAGACACGGCGAGGACCAAGAGATCGCGGAATGGAGCAAGAGTAGAGTAATCAATACGCATTCACACGCGGTGGCTCGCATCCCGTTTCCATGGGGACCGACACTGGCGCATGTGCAACCTGGCCGACGTTATGCTGTCACAGAAATTTACTCATTGACAGATAAAATTCTGCACTTGACCAAAGCGGAACATTCGATGTTTCTGCCATTAGGACGAACTAATCGCCTAATTGGCAAGCTACAAATAATTTCAGGCTGCCTAAAGAGATATTCTGCAAGTATGCACGCGTGTCGTTGCACTTATTGAGCCTTCCGAGCACGTCAGATCAATGTTCTTTGCGAAATGCACTTCTAGGGAACATCATAAAACTTTATTATTTATATTTCCATATTTATTACACGTTCTCCGCAGTCGTGAAAGATTCTTCATAATCGGATGCTTGGAGATCGAACTAACTAAGGATAGGTGTGATTGTATCTTGATGATAGTTATCCTGATGCCTCGTTGTCACTGTAGACTACGGTAAAGCGTTCGACTCGCGGATGTTCATCCCCTGGCAAAGACAGAGGGGATGGTGACGTTGAAGTCGGTGGGCAATAGGGGGTGGTTTTCCCTTTGGCGCCTGCGTCGAGTCCTCGATGAAGACTCGACGAGGTAGGTGCTCAACCCGGACGCAGTACGGAAGAAACGTCGAGCACGCCGAGAGTACCGTCCTCGTGACACATCTTACCCATTCTTCTCTCTTCATCCATGGCAACAAGAAAACGTGGGAAAATCTGTCCAGCCTGCCGGAAATTGATCAGTGATCCTCGGATAAAAGTTATGTCATGAATGTTCGTATCTTGGACTATCCGATTCTGCGGTGTCCTTAAGTGAAGAAGACGGTATATCGGAGAGCCGTGACAAAAGGTTATCAATGACTCGATACCGCGGCAAGATAAAAGATGCGTGGTATTACTGAATGGTTTTGTTAAACGTTCCGAAGGTTGCGCTGAAGCATACGTGAATGGAAAACTGTTTGTGATCTCTTGCGATGCTTTTTACAGTGTATTGCGTAGTGCACGTACACGGTATGTCACAGTGAAGCAGTTTAATGACGGACTCAGCTTTTATCAGCGGTGTATTCCGTGTAAAAGGAAATTTTGGGAAGAATTGATTCGACCTGTTAATTCGCCCTGTTACACTCCTATTGGGAACAACAGGTTGAAGCTGGAATCTATGTATGATAAGTTTCAAGATACTTCTGGGAACGAAGCAGATTATAGCTGCAGCGTGATCACTGAAACACAGCACTTCAAAGAGCAGCAGGGATACTATCAATTAGACGATGCATTTCGGTCGAATCAAAGGTTAATCAGCAAGAAGCATCCAGTGACATTCTTGCCACAGTAAAGGCAGCTTAGTCGCGTTTAATCGTCACTTGCATGTGGGTCACAAGTTGCGTTCACCAAAGCTAACGGGATAGAGGGTTTACTGAGTAGAGAGGTAAGCTTGTTAAATTACGTTACCCTATTGGATGTATCTTATATTACCGCTACACCCCTGCAATTAATTCCCTGTTATTTTTAAATATTTTTCGGCGGGGTCCTTCGAGATTTACCGTGGGTCGAAGCAGCCGAAAACTTCATAGAAAATTCGCGCCCAATACTGTTCTCTAACTCGTACTACACGTCATAGAAAATTAATGAATGTCGAAAGTGAAATGCATCTGTTTAAATATGTAGTGGATGAAATCGTAGATATTTATAAACCGGTTAGTTTGAAGTCACGTGGTAGATGCAGTTTATCGTGTCCTTAACCCCAGCGAAAATCAATGTTCTTCATGTAATAATAACCGAGTCCTCTTCATAGAACTAAAAATTATATCGGAACGAACAAAAGTTAAATGAATCAATACTATTTACATAATAAATGATCTGCGTTTTATGCAGGAACTTATTCCAACATGAAAACAAATTACTGTATTTTTTCTTGTGCTTTTAAAATCTGACGAGGTCGTTTATCCTACTTACATGTTTGACACAAATACCTTTATACTAGCAACCGGCTGCTAACATTCAGCATTATAGAAGTTAGACTTGATGATTATCGTACAGGTAAAACTGCACCTGTCGCGAGTGCATACCTACTTCTATAATCTTTGTTGTTAGTACATTAATTCATTTATAGAAACCTAACGGGACCTAATACTCTACTCAGGGGCACCGATACCGCGAGCATCAAGAAACAAGGATTATCACTCGACATCACATTCTATCTCTGATTTTATTATAAGGTTTCATTTTACCTTATGCGTTAACACTCCATACGTATACGCTAGTACCGTGGAATAAGAAATAAAATCATTATTTGTTACGATCAGAAAAATGAAGGGGAATAAATAATTATAATTAGTTAGGTTTACAAATCAACAGTAATTCAAATAGTGGGATTTTGTTTATATGACTTACGTCAAAACGTAGCTACCCGGGAATGTATCGCGGTTACACAGATCCTACCGCAAGTGACACTAGTGACACGCTGGAGGGTTTCTAGTGGATGTCATTCAAAACACGCATCAACTGGTAGGGACAGGGACGTTTTATATCGTGCGCGACGCTGACAAGGAACGTTGCTTCAGAACCAGCTATCCCCAATTCTTGAAGAAACATGCGAAACGTTTGATGAAACCAAAACGAAATTTCTAATTTACCATTCAAGCAATGCTCCGACATTTAATGTTTATTGTACATATGTAAATCTTTTTACATATTAGCGGAGGTCAAAGATTGAAGTGACACGCATGAACCTTCTGCCTTTTCTAAGGGTACGTAACGTTGCACGTATGTATATATGCCTTGGTTAACTCTTAGCTGGCGTTCCCTGAACAGAAGCAAGAAAAATGCGGAAGAAGCTTGGGCAAGAAGAAAGAAGAAGATTACACGGGAAAGCTATACAGTGGAAAGTGGTTCTCTGCATGCACAACCACTATAATAAGAGACAGTCTTAATTCACCGACACGAAAATGCGTTAATGATCTTCGGATAGAATCTCGTATACTACATTGAAATATATTACACGTACATACACATTCTGTTCGCGTTACCATATACACATTAACAAATATAACATAAAATAAATAAAATATTTTGAATGTAACTGTTTTTCCTTTACATATTTATCAATCTAGTAGAATACGTTATAGTATAGAAATTAAGAAGAGAAAATTATACTTCTAGATACAAAAAGATATCATAGATTAAAGATAGATACTTGTGTACGTAACTAGAAAAGCAAAAACTCTCATATCGCGTTGAAAAAGTGAAATCGATACTATGAAATCGCTGGAAAATGCTAGGCACCTTTCTCTAATCCTAGCTTTTCCGCGTTGAAACGTTGGAACGAGGGGAGCGTGAGTTTGCTTTTTAAAATCTGTGGACGGGATATTATATCGCTTGTTGTATTCCGCCTGTACACGGGATTCGTTGACGTGGTTCAGACACCCGTGTACGTTCCATAAAATCTTTACGCCCGATTCTCCCCCGTGCATTACGTCCATTTTAAAGATCACGTAGGGAAAAGTAAAAAATAATGATGCTGCGATAAAATGCAACAGATTATTTCCGCATGAAAAGATTTTCCGCGAGACAGTATGCATACTAACGCAATGCATAAAAACAAAAAAACGTAACTAAAATAAAGTTATGTCCATTCCACCGATGTTTACGATGAAGCAATTATTTTTTTCGTGAACTCAAACTATTCTCTCTAATGCACAAATTATAAGGTGTGGGTAAGTGAATTTCTCGCAACCAGAAGCGTTCATACGTTGTCTCTTAGTGAATGTGCACCCTAAGGGAAAGAGATCCTTGGACGAAACAACCGCAAAAGGAACATCCAGCCGCGTAATACTGAAATCAAGACAAGTGCGAGTGTCGACACGGTAGAGGAAATTGTCTGACTACTCTCCCTTTTCGGAAGCGGGTAGCTACGACGCATCCCCTTATAAGTCGGGTTAGACAGAGAGAGATCGAAAGAGGAGAGATAGAGCTCTGCGCTCACCCCCTCAGAGGGTTTCTCCCTATGCTTTTCGAACGGAAAGGGAGATCAAAATCTAGTCGAATTTTTACGCTCACATTTCTCGTTCGTTACCTATCGGAAGATGAAATTCCCGTCACCGGTCGATAACCCACCGTCCGGGGGTTGCAAGAAGAAAATCGTTTCCCCGTAAAATACTCGAGAGTCGGCAGTCGAAGGGATATTGCTGTAGTAAAACAATACTTGAGAAAAGAGGAGAGCTTCAGACAATACGTCCGCGTAAAATTCATCAAATTTCGAATCTCCAGTTTGAACCCCTTATCTGTCTGACAAAAAATACTCGTCCACTTTTATCGGACCACTTGGAGGCCCGAGTGTAGCATATACTATCATCTATACTCTATACTATTATATAATTTGTTGTAAAGCTTCTCTGAAGTATATACAAGCATCGCTTCCATACATATTTACAACTTATCTCTGATGTACGTCCGTTAGAAATGGGTTACCATTTACTTTCTATGTAACATACATAGTAATTTAATGTGAATATGGATATGATTTAGTATAATATTCTAATGAATATAAAGCCTGTTAAATGGTGCAAAGTAAAACTATAGAAAATGAGAATTCTGTATTTGTTTGGAAAAGAAATAGGATGCACGAGAGAAACACGTGAGTCGAATAAGTTAGGAAAAAATAAGCATGCATGTCATTGTTCTTCGTGCACTCGTTTCTTGTCAATGATTTCGCGACGGAGCGCGAAAAGACTGCAAACGTCTGCCGAGTTTCGTATTTAGAATGAAAATTATACCAGTCACCTGTCACGTTTGTTGAAACGTGGCGCATACAGACGTAAGAGATTAAAAAGTCTCGGTCTTTGAATATTTCCAGAGCGGTGGACAACGAATGCGACGATGACGAAACAAGGCATTCTATTCCCGGGTTTCCTTTTTTCAGACCTTCGGTTTTCGTATCGATTTGACAATGTGTCAAAATTAGAACGATGAGAAAAATGCAGAGAAAAAATCGCGAACTTTTTGTATGTTTAATCGCAACGTTCCGCGGGGACTCGTTAAATTTCCATACATTTGAATTAAACCGCTCACTACAAGGGTCGCATGTTTCTCCCTAGTTTCTTTAACGATGTGAATACGTTTACTTCAGACGAATTCATTTAATAGCTTCGTTTTATTTAATATCCGTACTTCTTAATTATACACAATCTATAATTGCGTAGAAATGTTATTAAATTCTTGTCGTTTACAAAATTTTTATGTGCGTCGAACAATTTTTATTGGGTTCAACATTTTCCACAGCAACATAGAAAGACCGCAGAGGGTACGTTTGCTATTTCCTCACGTATCTTCACAGATTTCCCTTCGCCGCGTTTCTTTGGTAGCGTTATACAAAAGGAATACCATGGGGAATCCCATTTGTACTAGCGCGGCTGGTGGCGTACCGTATTGCCTCACAACCGTATTTGCGTACGCGTGTTTGGGGTGCGTGAGGGTGCATTCGTTTACCCGAAACTCGATTTCGAAGCTTTGGTAATTGAATTTCAAGTGCGTCTGCGTGGGCGGTCGTTGATAAGTTTAAAGACAATGTAGAAGCCATTTAATGATACCACGTTACTTTCCCTATTTACATCTATCACAGCGAAAGAAACTCCAGATTGCGATACTAATGTAATAACTTTGTTCGCATCCATATTTTATCTCTCCTACATCAGTTAGTCAGGGTGCCGCCCTGCTTTCAACTTCAACCAATCCATTTTTCTTCCCGCCTCGAAGATGACTGAGAAGGGTGAAATTAATTTAATCAACAATTTTTATAGGTCATTGCATTACAGATAAAAATAGACCGAGGCATCTGTTAAACGTTTATTACGTTACACCGTCATTTGACTCTACTCAGATAATTATGTATCCAATTAGAGTGCGCTGATTCACGATTATCTTATCGAACGGAACGCTAAATTCTTCTTTAATCCAGGATTAATTCGTGATCTCTACTGTTGCAGGAAGAAAATGTGGAGCTCGGTTACTGCGGCTGGCACTGAAAATGGGCCCGCACCACCTTCCAGAAGCAAGCACAGTGCCACTTTGCTCACCGGGCACGTATATCTGCTTGGCGGACGAAACGGCAATCTCCCCCTCAAAGACCTCTGGCGGTATAGTCTCGGTGAGCGATAATTGCTATACTGATTTTCATTTTCTCGTGATGATTCGAACGATTAACGGCAACGTTTTAAAAATGTTTGCAAAATTATGGAAGGAAGAATCCGAAGATGGGAGATAGTCCTTGTAATTATAAAGGGAATTAATACATGATGTCTGAGTACTTTGAATACGGTACGTACACGAACAACATCTCTGACCAACGCACCCTATCATCTCGTTCCCGGTGAACGAGGGTGCGCGACGGAATTTAAACGGGGTTCAGTCTGATCAATAATACGCCATTATTAAAGCCCACGTATATCAACTAAATCCGACGGCGATACTGCACAATTACGGGTGTTTCCACGGAGATCAGACATATGCGAATTAATTGCATCTACTCGCAATAATCAGTGGTTTACATGCTGCAGTCAGCATATTAACCATTTATGCTATCTCCGATCGACCTTCCAAGCGGAGAGTGACGCGCTCAATCTTCATGCAACTTTATGTCCTAAAAAAGATATATAAATGCGCTTGTCAGGGCGTTAGATTATTCGATTTAAATAGCTGACTATCGACGTAGCCAAGTTCCGATCCGGTTAGATTGGCAGCGTTTTAAATGCATTCCCTATGGATTAGCTTGGCCAATAGTGGACCCAGCCAACGAATTGATGCGATCGAATTTCGAATTCTGTCAATGCTTTCGCTCTGTTCATTCTGAGATCGTTCATGAAATTAATATGCTGAGAATTATATTGAATATCTTTATGTTTTGTCAATTTGGAGATACAGCGAAATTCTCGAGTTTGTGATGTACAATAATTTGATGCTTTATGCAAAATACGACGTGAATTCGCAGCGTAATAGAATTGCGTCGATGGTAGGTTGAATGGTCGGCGGTACAGAGTCTCTATTAATCAGAAGGGGATTGTCCAACTAGAGTTCGGGTGAATATTAAAGCAGTATCAGAAGGGTTCGATGCCACTGTGGTCTGTCTCTCGGGAGCAAATACTACCCGGGAACCCCTGGTATATTTTAAAAGCATAGTACTGTCAATACTTGATCTTGCAAAAATATTGTGATAACTCGTAGAACCACAAGAGTACTTCATCTCGAAATGTTTTGTCTCACCCTCCTTTTTAACCGATGGGGATTTCAAGGGGTTCTCGCCGCTTGGATTCTATTCATTAAGTATCTTTGCATGGCAATATTAGAAATTATCCCTTCAATAATAGGAGAAAATATCTTATGAAAATCTATCATTCTCATGCCTTCTCTCAAGAAGAGATGTTAATCGTTATCTGTCGTAGTTCTAATTGTTAGAGATCTGAAGTAGATCAATCGTTTAAGAGCGAGGTTTGTTCGGGCTGATCTCTCTCTTCATCAAAGCAACCGCGGTTTTATTGTGTGAACAGCACTTTCAGACAAAGGAGTCCATTGCTTCGTAGCCAGCTAGATACGACACGTGTTCGTAATCAATGTCGGGCATCTCTAGTACCAGTTTACGAGAGCCACTGCTTTAGCCAGCACATTATGCCTCTTACGTAAATTTTATAGGCTTTGTTTTCGAGCACGTCCCAGTGCGAGGCTACGACTCGAATATCTTATGTATGAAACATTTCTTTATCATTTATTTGACGATGCGACGATGAAAGAGAGGTCTTCTGTTCGGCGTCGAGGATCTTCCTTTGTTCATGTACAGTGGAACCTTCGATTGGACCATAATTCGTTCCAGAAATGAAAATCGTTACTGATCGTGAGAGATACATATACTTACAATTAGTTGCGATCACATGTCGCTCGGCAGACAGAATGTATACGTATTAACAGCATTGCAATACATCGCTCATTTATCAAGTTAAAATGTATTAAACATTTTTGCTATCGTTACAAAACAAACCGAAGTACTTGCAATTCAAGGCTTTACTGTAATACACTATAACTTCATGGCTCGCTGATTTCCCTTGCATTTATATCTTCCAGCAGATTAGGGGAGCGTCCCTTTTCTTCTTACGTAAAACTCCTTAAGGGTAAAGAACGTCCATCGTGTTAAAACCACGCATTAAAGAGCCATTTGAATGCACCCTTCGAAGCATGATCTACCGTTAGGTGAATGAAAACTCGTTTAATCTCTACTCCCATACAAAAATCGAGAATCGATTACGAATAAAGAAAGTAACCAATGAAGTGACAAAATATTATCATCTACCGAATAGAGTTGCTTTATTTACGTCTTTGACACTGCTTAGATTTAAGCCAGCGAACCTGTTCTTGCATTCGTCTTCTTTGTCTGCTTCTAAGAAGCCCCAACTACCCAGGATTTATTCCAGAGCGGTAAATTGCCGGGGCGGGTGAAAGTGTGATTTACCACGTTGGAAAAGATTTCTCGATACCCTTGAGATCGCTCTATTCCCTTCGCGTGCGCCACGCTTTTAATTTTGCGCAACATCAGTATAACACTTTTTCCGATGAGGAAGCGTACATGCGTTCTTAAAACAATATAAAAAAAAAAGAAAAAACGCAACGTTGGTTTGTATCATTAATTGACGAGCCATTCGTTATTTCGGTGAAAACTGGGACAGTTATGTATGTGCATACATATCGTGTGTTGCAGCAGGAACAGGCAATTAAAACGTGCTACAACGGCATGCATTAAGGAACTTTGCGCGCCACTAAATTAAGCATGCCGTCTGGGTGCATATACGCGCGACACCGATAAGACAAGCCTCTTTGTTTTTCTATTTAGCCGCGTTTTTCCCTTTTCTTTTTCTAACTGCGGTTTCATCATTCCCCTCGTGCAACACGCATAAAAGCAGGACTGCGTAAATCTTGTTTATGCAGCTTAATGCTAAAGAAAGAGTCTCGCATATGAAAGCGTTTGAAATAACGAGACCGCGCGTTAACCCTTTCTCTATTTTTCTTTACAGCCGAGAGCAAATGGGAGGAATTGCATCCTGGGGGAGAGAGGCCGCCAGCGCTTCAGGAACACAGCGCGGTAGCTTACAAGGATTGCCTTTACGTTTTCGGAGGCGAACTCGGGTTTTCCGCAGGCACGGAAACGCCGCTTTGGGTTTACAATGTCAAGGTAACGTGACGCCCTTGGGCGAACCGAATTACTTTCTAGGGGTTGCATATATTTGCAGAAGTCTAAATCTGTAAAATATGTACGTCAGATTATTTAAAGCGAAACAGGCGCATCTCTGTTGATTTAATCGCTGAAGTATTTATACAAACTTTCTACAAACAATCGAAAACTGATTTGTATTCCGTTTTCAACGATTAAATTTGTTAGTAAGATTTAGTTTCATTGAAATTCAGGCGATTCGATTTGTCGAGGCCGCGATAGCCTCGAGGCATTCGGACCCTTCGCGTTCCAGGCACGCTGCGAGGGTTTCAACACCCTCTTGCTTGGTAAACCAGAGGGCAGTGTCGATCTTGATTGACAATATCTTGCTTCAATGCTTTTCGTTTAGACCTAGTCGCTGCAATTCGATCGAATATGCAGACAGACGCGGACGAAATAGAAGAGCAATCTCCTCGTTAGCTAGTTTCGAAGCCACGGTTATTATCTTCCCCAAGGAGTGCTTGCCACTCGACGGAGTACAATGATAGAACATAATTGCTCCGTGCGGTTGTCTCATGGTTGTCCTTCGACATCGCGTGTTACCGGTTGCTGAACCCAGCTCTTCCCTATCCATGAAATGTTCTCGTGCAAAACTTGTTGTACCCGATGACGTTCCTATTGATTTAGCGGTTTCCCGAGGGTGCGATTCTTTCGTCCCTCTCTTCTTCTTCATCGACGACCCCTGCTCGCGCCCCTGCAGGACGAGTAAGATCATTAAGAGTTTCCTTTGCAAGATGTGACACCCGGCTACACTAGATCGTTATCAAGGAACACGAGGGTCGACGCGAAACAGACCGAACCACTTCCCGAAAACACATTGTCCGCTAAATTACGAAAGTCAACTCGCGTACGAGGTTCGATATGACGCACCTCTACGCATTCTGCGACTGCTAGTGACGGTCTCCTTGTCTCGTCATTTACCTGATGATGAAAAGCAGGAGACATGTCATTTGTCACTGTCAGTAGCGATGCGCTTGTGATAGCTTTCGAACATCTAGAGTTACATCGATCGATCCATCTCGTATAGATACCCAGGAGAGGAAAGCCGCGGTGAAAAATCGATACAACTGCATTCAGTATTCGACGCCGTTCGCTGGTCCTTCGGAGGCCGCTTGTCTACGGTAATTTTTGGCAACAGTTGGTGTCAACAGTTCTTCCTTCGTAACCCTCGAAATTGAACGCTCCAAGGGTCTCTTCTGCCCTCAACTCGTGTACCATTAAAAATTGATAACACCGGGGTACGAAAGAAGCGTAGTGGCGCGTTAGCAGTTTCTCAATTCTTCGCCAACATGAGTTCAGGAAAAATAAGGACCAAAGTAAAAGAAATTTATTTTACTTCGGTTAGAGAGAGAATTCTATCAGTATTTTTGCCCTCATTCTCATTCTTTTTTGGAATCCAAGCTTCTTCTCTGAACGTGTTGCTATGGTTACCTTACCTCCGTTTTTTTAACTCATTGGACCGTACCATATGCCAGGGATATTCCCTGCTGCTTGTCTCTTCTCAATGTATTATTGAAATCCGCGTTACGAATAAGGCTGGCAGACCCGATTGGTTAAACCAGAGGGGTTGTTTCGTGGTATGTTCTCTTTCTTCCATCTACCCTTCGTTAAAATTCTCTCGCGTGAACAGAATATCGGGGCAATGCGCTAGAGATATTCTATTCTGTTGAATATTTTCCATGTACGCGTGAAGCCAGGACGCACGCACTTCGATTTAATCCAAAGTCGCGAAGATGAACCGCGTGCAGGCGGCGCGCGGTTCTTTAATGTTTCAAAAACGCCACGCCGCGGAGGATAACTGTTTTCTCGCTAATTTTACAGCGTTTTAACGTTGATGGCGAATTTAGCCAGTAGCACACCCTTTTGCGACTCCCTCGTGTCGTAATGTCGGGGTAGAAGCAAGTGGCTGTACAGACCTATCAACTTTAGGCACGTACTTCAAGTTACGTAATTACTTTCAGCACCCCTGCTATATAGCTTATATACCTTCCTTCCATCATCTCTCCTTTACATGTACGATCGCGGACCCTTTTCTCTAAGCCAATGCATTTTCTCTTTTCCGCTTAACGATATCACGTTGGTCGAACGGATGCGAAAGGCGAGTGAGCCCCCGATTGCCACTATACATCAAAAGCCGCTCCAATTTAGAGCATTGTGCAATTAATTATGGCCAGAGAGCAGTAATTTTGTCACATTATGATATGAACAGACATATTGATGTACGTTCCGTCCCCGATATGATAAATATAAAGCAGGTATTAGAGCACTGCAGCCTTGTGAAGCGTTCTGCGTCCTATACACTGTCCTACTAGTATTTTCTCAAGGTGAATGAATAATTATAGAACGGAGCATTTTCTCATAACAAGCTTATATATTTTATACATTTTTATGTTATCCCTTCTCACTTTGTATTCGCTATTGAATTGTGACATTAATTTGAAAATTATTGCTCAAAGGGCCATCACTAGAACAATTCCTGTAAACCCATAAATTAAACTCGAATCCGCTTGAATTACAAAATAGTAAGTGGCAAGTTGGAACTCTCGTGTGCTTTTGTTGCACGCGACCCCAATCATGTTCGGTATTCAGCAGCCTCTAATCTATTCGAAATTAGACGATCCTCGTGTCTATTGTTAGCCATCACGCAAGATTAATGAATTCTAAATACACGCGGGATCATAAAACGAACTCGTTTCTGTTAATCAACGTTTTTTTATTCGTAGACCAATATGTGGAGGAAAGTGAGAGCGCAGCGTGGTTGTGCGGTTCCCAGAGGCAGGAGAGGCCACACCGCTTTAGTTCATCGTGGTCAGATGCTCGTTTACGGTGGTTACCAAGATTTACGTGGAAGCTCTCCGGAATTGTGGGCATTCCATTTCGGTAAAGTTGGCAAAATATTCATATTTTATGTTTTAGTACATAGCTCGCTTTTTAACTTGCACATTAATAAATTCAATTCATTATGCAAGACGACAAAGACCAGTTTCTTGTTCCAATGAAAAATAACTGACTTCCAATAATTATGTGTCCATCGAACGTTCACATTGCAGAAACAGAATCGTGGCATCTTCTTTCGTCCAGTGAAAGCGGACCAGCGGCAAGGCATAAACATTCAGCGGTTCTACACGGCGATGCTATGTATATTTACGGAGGTATGACCGATCTACAAGAGAGAAGCGATTGCTGGCGATGGGACGTGAATTCTGCGTCATGGTGTCTTCTGAAAAATAAGCCAGGACCAGGACCCCTCCATGGACACGCAGCCTGCAGGCTTCCTAGTTGCATGCTGATCTTTGGCGGAGAAAGCGGTGGTTTAGCTACGAACGAACTCTGGAGGTTTCATTTCGGTAAACGCTTAAACCATTAAAATGAAAAGAAAAATATCGTTATTGTATGAAGTAATATTTGAATGGAATTTGGTTGAAGGTACGGAGATGTGGGAGAAATTATCAGTGCCAGGTCCCAAACCTCAACCAAGAGCAGAAAGCGTCGCTTTAGCGGTTTCCGAACTGTTAATTCGAGGGACCAATATCGATAATCCAAAACCAAAGCCGAGGAATCAGAGGACGAGACTTTGTAACAGCAGGATATCGCCCAATGAAGCGCCAACTAGGCCGAGCTTTCTCAGAGAAATTTCTAAATTGTCTCAAATTAATTTATCACGATTAAGTCATCCGACAAAATGTAGCTATTCTGTTTTAAGTGGTCAAGATGATAATGAAGAAAGCCCACAAGAGGTACGCGTTTTATCTGCTGCATATACTGCTAAAGTAGATTTTTTTTATACCTATTTCCTGAATTCAAACAATACTAAGATACTACATTAGTGAACAAAAAATTAATTCACTATGTTTGCAATAATAAGAATGTGAATTAAGACGAATAATCTTTTTCATATATTTTATAAACGTTCTATGCACACTTGTTTAGTCTTGCTTTTGCACAAGAAACGCATGTGACAAATGAGCCTGCCTGCAGGCGAATTCGTATTATCCGTTTCAGCAAGTGGACTCGGAGGTCGTCGAACCATCTACGGGGATGGTGAAGTCTCGGAGTGCTAATACGCTGGCACGACGGAGACAGAGACCGCCGGACACAGCGTCCAAAAGTGTCGATGGGAACAACAGCAACAACGTAACAAGTGGATCCGGCATGACCAGAGATCCAATTTCAGTACCAAATTTTCGTGCTCTCACCTTGCCCACTCCAGTATTGACACCTGTAGAAGCAGCGAGACTCGTCTTCGTCGATCCAGATGAGAATAGTGACGACGAAGAACGAAAGGAACCTCCAACTTCTAGGCTGATAGAAGTTCAAGAGGAAAGACGGTACGTACCACTGCTAATTATTAAATTATGGACCGAAAAATTCGCATCTTCGACTTTCAATCTTATTTTTCACTTTTTAATGTTGTATAAATTCTTTTACACTTTCAGAGATTTTGCAGCTGTGCACCAAGCCTGTCAACCAACGCGAGGGGAAAGTTACAGCTCTCACCTCTACGAAGCCGCGCTTCAAACACCAAAAACGCCAACAACATCAAAGATTCCCATGTCGGCTTCTGTCCGATTCGCTGATTTAGAAGAAGGAGAAGAGTCGACGTCGGATTACGCGAGTATAGAAGCCAGAAGTCCCGGTGATCCTCTTGCAGATGACGACTGGCCATCAGGTCGGAAGAGTAAACAGTATCGTCCTATGGTTACTCCATCGACGATACGTGAGGGCCAATTCGGTTTTTGCAATCCGAATTATCTCGGGTTAAACGAAGTGAAGAGTCATCATCAGCATCAACAGTCTCAAGATGGAAAGTACGCGAAATTATTGAACAGTCCACCCGACAGCGTCCTAGAAGACGAGCCAGGAAGGTCTGCCTCGCAAACGTTCGCGGAATTATTGGAACTTCAAGAAATTAAAAGAGTTCCAAGAGTGCCACCGAAAAGTCTGCCACTGGGTTCTCCTTCGAGAAGAGCAGTCAGTGCGTCAAGGGCTGAAAGGCAACGGGCGAAAATAGCCGCAGTTGATATCAATGAATCAGAAACACCGTCGTATGGACCAGCACCGCTTTATGTGTTTTTAGTTGGTGGAAAAGAAAAGGGTCAGGTTACTGTATTCGCCAGGCCTGTGTCCTTGTGGAAATTGCAATTAGCACCACACATCTTTTAAAGACAAAATAGGTACGTTTGACAATTTTATTTATTTATCGTATATATTTTGGAATTTATGAAAATTAGATAATCGAAGAGATAGATGTTATTCAATGATTTACTCGTTGTTTTTAATTAATTACAATCTATAGACGTATAGTCGATAAATGCAGTGTCCCAGTGCCAAGTGCTACAGACGTCGCGTTCAACTATGTAATATATAACATTCTAGGTTTTTATTATATTTGTTCGTAAATCATCTATTTTCTGTTAATCTCTTGTTTATGTTAAACCGCTGCTAGTCTCCCTCGTAATAATTTTTGAAATCTCTGTCTGATAAGAAATTTTTATTTATTAATGAAAATAGTGCAATATGAGTTGTGATTAGAACTGCAGAATTGATCAGTAATTCGATCGGCATTCGTTCAGTTAATCGAATGTTCGGATTCTAACTTGATATTATCATTTAGTAATTGAAAAATTATATTCGATCGTAAAATCAAAATTAATTTTGTTCAAATATAATATAATAGATAAAAAGTGTATGAAAATCATAATATAATTTGAAAATTGAAATTTACGATCTCGTTTCGTTAAAAGAAATTATATAAAAATAAACTAGTATATTAACAACAATTTTATATAAAAGCGTTACGTACACACTTATCAGTATACAGATGATTTCATTGTTTCCTTATTTGCGTGTTTAAATTATTATCAAAGGGTGTAATTTTATATGAGCGTCCTACGTTTCTATGTAGAATAGATCCGTAAATGAGGACGTACGAATCGAGACTTCACATTGGTCAGATTAATTTAAGATGATTGTTGTATGATTACATTATTTAAAAAATAAGAATATGAATAGTGCAAATGTCCATACCAAAGCGCAAGTCAAGCGAGTAAAGCGAATAATCCTTCATCTATGATTGCGTCCTGTAAGTTTTAAGTAATATAAACATAAGTCTTGTAAAATGTTATGAAAATTATAATTAAGGTCCATATGTTAGATTCTATGTTTGACGTAAAGAATACAACTTTTCATACTATAATAGTTTATAGATTATTTAAACATTTCGGAAATAAAGAACACAAATAGTACGTCGTGGAATGTCTCGCCTGATCTGCGCTTAACTGCCACCGTGAACTCACTCAGTATGCATAGAACGTAAAATAATAGGATATGTATAAGCTTGAAGTCACGTTTGACGTTTAAAACTTTCTGGATGTTAAATGAAAGTTGATGTGTGATTGTGTCTGATACAAATAATTAAAAAGTACGTTTCGATTATTCTATGTAAATTAGATTTTTATAAAAAGTCGACTCTTAATAGGAATTTCTTATTTAGATCTGAATAAGGAAAATATCAATGGAGGCTCTTTGTATTTATGTTAATTTTATTTGTAAAGCGTGAAACGTAAAAGACAAAATTGTGTTCCAAAATATTGTATCGAGTAGGTATTTTTACGTCGATACAACAAAGAGACGAATTAAAAAGTCTCCATTATGACTGTGTATTTATAGATAGAATATTACAAATAAGTTTCATAGATGTATCGTAAATGGAAGAAATGGTAAAGCACGATGGGAGGTCTCTTGTTCATGTAGAATTTTTATGCCCACAAAGGCCCAATACATGTAATCCATCCATGCAGTAGTGAAGGTCAACGTGGAACCTCGTAGGCTGAATATTAACACATTCTTTCTTTACAGTTTCTTATTCTTTAATTCTTTTTCATTTTCCATACCTACATATGTATATCTATTGTACAGGACATTTTTGGCATAATTTTATACGCAAAAGCATATCAAATTTATGTTAAGGGCGATGTGCAATATACGTGTACAATTAAATGAATTACAATCTTTCATTGTATTGTATATCACGTTTAGTAAAACTTATTTAATAATATTCAGCTAGAGGCCGCAAGTACCCGAAAAATAATGAATGTTTTCCACTTATAGTGTTAGTCAATTTTACATCTCAGTGTACAGATGTTAAGATAAATGTTTTATGATATTATTTCTACTTTCTAGGATCCTCTAGCTTAATATTTATTTTTCGATACGCATGCTAACACGTGCAATACTACCTATGCCCCTCATTACGTTACAAACGTACTCGTTCTCCCATAATCTTGACCATTTTGGCGTACGTAGCAATTGTATAGTTGTATGAAATACGTATTAATAACAATGTACCGCCCCTTCCCCCCAAAATTTCTGGTTGTACCACATGTTACACACTTGAAACTGTCTGAAGAAATTTCTTACGACGCGAAATTTATAATACATATAACAGACGAAAGAATTTTTGCAGCATGAACGAAAAGTGAAAGTGAAGCAACGATTGTTTGAAGCTAATTTCCGCGTAGTTATTGTTTCACGTTGTAGGTATGCATAACGCGATCTGATAGTCAATTATAACCGTGTCATGAAATACATATGTCGGTTGCCAAATACAATATTCCTCCATAGGATATCACGTTTCGTAAAAATATTCAGAGTAAATATAAGCTCGAAGACGTCACTATCTCGAAACGAAAGAAAAATAAAAACAATGTAGCTGATTTGAGTGCCTGTACTTTACGCAAATATATATGTATTTCATATCTTTTTGGACACGAACATTTTTTCGGAAAATATTCACCGTGCTATCTTTTCTGGCTTATGCTTTCCTCCAATGGTTCCGATGATTGAATGTCATACGCAAACGAGATGAATGAAATTAAAATATATCAAAAGGTGGTAAAAATACGTAATGTCGACAGAAATAAAATAAATCGCGTCCTACTCCAGTGGAGTTTCATATCACAGAATACAATATTTTTTCAACGAGTGAGCCTTGAAATAGATAACCCGCATTTTAACTTTTCTATGTTAATTGTCAGTCAATATACATATGTATACTACATGTATACCTTTCTCTCTCTATATACACCTTTATTTAAATTAATAGTTATGAAACCAGTCTTATATGAATCGTGTAGGAAGAATTCCTGTTCGAACAAATTTATCTACCTTTCAGTAAAAGTATATTTCCATGTCTGGTAAAGACGGCTCTGAGCGGCTGACTGCAACAAGTATCGTTACCTCGTTACATTATACCTCTTGCACCAATTATAACAACTATTGTAAAATAGCAGGACTGTGCTTCACATCTATAACGAAAGAGATCATGATAATATGCTGTAAATTCAATAATCTGTTTTATTGGGTTTATCCCGATGTATTCTTCAGATGTTGCGAGGTCATGAAATTTGCCAAGTAAAGTTTATAGTGCGGGTGACCGCAACATCTTTTTTAGGCGAGCTGGCTCTTCCAGTTTGCGCTCTACGAACCAAGGACGTATAAGTAGGATGCGACAGATAGATACATAATTTCTACAGATAGATGAATAATTTCTATAGATAGATCATTTCGACAGATATATAGATAATTTCTGTAGATAGATTTGGTCCTATTTCAGCCCGTTTGGTACCATTTCGGGTCGTTTGGCTCTGTTTCTGCCTGCTTTGGCCCGTTTGCTACTATTTCGGCCCGTTTGGCCCTCATTCTGTCCATTTGGACCAATCAATCTAAATACTGCGTCGACTTCGTGTCACACAGAAAAATTGTAAAAATATTGCCGATAATAACAATTCAGAAACTAATTTCAATTAAACACTGATATTCATTAAGATATTAAATGCCAATTACTTTTATTCTTACTTCAAATACAAAATATGGCGTGCACTAATGAAAATAAAGTAATACAAGTGTGACAAAATTTGAAAATGATGGGTAATCTATTTTTGAAGTAATAATCTCGAATCAAGTATAAGGTTGATAATATCAGTGTTCTACGGTTACTATCGTGCTGGAAGAAAACATCGGCACCGGCATCGGTGAGTCTGAACGTCGGTACACGCCGAAGCAGTCATTCTGTGGGATTTCATGAATCTACCTTGCCGGTTCAAGTTTGTGTCCTGTTCTTGGGACGCGCGTTAACACAGACGTTAGCACTGTTTAGTAATCTCTCCTCGGTGTCGCTCTTTTCTTACAAAGTTCTTTATTAATTATATGAAAAGTTGTATGAAAGGGCAGAATTCGGGTGCAACTAAATGTAGTTGCACATTCTCAATAGAGAATAAAATAAATTCTATCAAAGTTTTACTTGAAAATTTTTGTATATTTACGTATGTACATATTACTTAAATAAAAAACGTTCATACCGTCGCGTAAAATATACAACTTGAAAAATGACTGCACCAATAAGTACGGCAATGGACAGCTTGTCAGCTGCACTTAGGTCCAACATAATCCCAAATCAAGAATATTTGCTGCAAGGATCAGTGTTGGACAGTGCTGTAGAAGTATTATTACACAGGTTACGTGGTTTATGTGATAATGTTGATACTGGACCAGAAACATTTAACGATCACGAGATGTGTTTTAGCATCAGGTGTGTAAAGCAAACATTATAAAAAGTGTCATTCGTAAACTAATATCATAATTTATTTTTTATTTCAGAGGATCGGAGCAGCCTCTACTTCTACGTGTGAGAAGAGCTTTGGATTACCAAGATATGCCTTGGCAATTACGTTACATCGGTCAACATGAATTAGGAGACAAATCAAGGCCAACAATTGTTAGAAGTAGTTTGGATATAGCAACTAGTAACACTGTTGTTGAATTTTTAACAGAACTTGGATGTAGATTAGATTTTGAATACATTGCACGCGGTTACATGTTTAGAAAAGGTAGAATGAAAGTTACAGTATCTAAGATATTTAAAATGGGTCAACAAGGAAAAATACCTGAAGGTATGGAAGCTATATCTCAGAGTTATTTAGTAGAATTGAGTGTTCTGGCTCCCAGTGGTCAAGATGCAATAGCAGAGGATATGAGAATTTTTGCAGAACAACTGAAACCTTTAGTACAACTTGAAAAAATTGACTACAAGAGACTTGTTCATTAACTGGATAACTAATTGCTAATTTAAATTATATTAGCTGTATGTGTATATTATACTGTGAAATTGTATGCATAATTTAAATAAAATGAAATGTAAATTTTGTCTATTTGTCTACTTGTTAGACTCTATCTCTAAATATAATTTTACATGTGCAATTGTGTAGAGCACGAGTAAAATAGAATCAACATAGAGTGTTTATTAATTTTCAAAGAAAATGTTAAAACCTGTTATCCTTTCCCAATTAAATAATTAAAATTAATTCACTTATAAAGATTAATTTCGTTACCGCTAAAATTTCTTTTTGCCATCTGAACGCCACCTACACCCTACGCCATCATTTCGTTAGGGATTTTTATGTGTGTGTGTACATTTGATGCATTTTGCTTTGCATTGCACTTGTTTGCATTGCAGTGTGTTCCAGTGTTTGCAGTGCAGTTTAAAGCTAAACAGAACAGTTGTGCCGTAGAATTATAATCCATTTATTAAACTTATATAAAAGAAATGTAAGTAAAGTATTAATTGCATTTATTTTAAAAATATGTATCACGACTGATTTGGGAAACTTTTACATACTTCCAAAATTACATGGCGTCAGTTTTTGTAGACCAACATTTCTATTTGTGTATTATTAAGAATACTAATTTTGAATAAAGTACATATCTATATTTATAAGTGATAAGATTAGAAAATATTTTGAATAATATAAAAGATCTGTTTACTGAAATGAATCATATGTGAAATGTATGTCAGATTTCTTTTTAGATTATTATGATTTTAATATGCCCTCACAAAATTAAAATGTATTGTTACATTGTTCTAAACGAATCTTCTAATATCTTTAGATACTTAAAATGTCGCGTTATCGTGAATGGAATCTTGCTTGCAAAGTTTACATTGGTAATTTGGGAAACAGTGCTAGTAAACATGAAATTGAAAGTGCATTCAGTAAGTACGGCCCGTTGAAAAACGTATGGGTTGCCAGAAATCCACCTGGCTTCGCTTTTGTGGAATTTGAGGATCCACGAGATGCTGAAGATGCAGTCAGAGGACTAGATGGAACGTAAGTGTCGTATAAAAGTTATGAAAAAATAATCTGTAAAAATTTTTGAACTTATAGAACTTAAGTGATGGCCAAATGATTGTATTTATATACAGACGCTGCTGTGGAACTAGAATGAGAGTAGAGATGTCCTCAGGAAGAAGTCGACATGGAGGTGGTGGTCGCAAACCTGGTCCAAGATATTCCAGGTAAGAAATTTCAAAATGTTAAACACCTAGCTTATAGCAACTCATTGAACTACAGGTGACTAAGTGTCTGACAAAGTAGGTATTACGGTGCAATTATTAAATAAAAATTTCGGAAAATGATGCACGAGTGTCAATTAATTTTCTGAAGCACAGCAGGTGTAAATTGATATTTTCCTAAAACTATATTGTACAGAAATCCTAGTAGAATCTATTATGTATTGCATTTATATTTAATCTTTTGTGTAGTATTTATTATAGATTTCATCATGTCATGTACCTTTTTAACAAACTTATAGGTCCAGATCTCATAGTCCCCATAAGAAAACACTGGCACGCTATCCAAGGTAAGATTTTTCATAGCTGATTTTATTGTCACTCTCAGGAGCGAGTATACATGAGATCAAAGTCAAACACAGCAACTAGTAGCACATGAGCAGTATAAAGTATACAACAATTTTTCTTAATTTTTTTTTAGGTCTTGGTCAGGAAGCCCACCGAAATCTTCTATTAGTCGACATTCCAGGTAATCTTTTTTTACCAAATACTTTTATTGCATTTTCAGATCCTAAGAATAACCAATCTACAAATCACAAGTAGGTATTTGCAAGTATTGCTTGTATTGCAATCGTCGCAATTTTGTATGCTGAATCACAATTACGTATTGCATACTTGCTTTACATAATTGAATTCTATTTTGCACTTGAGATATCAGAGTATGACCTTAATAAACTGCGATAAATACAGAAGACCTGAAGTGAAGCATCCATATAAATTTGATTAATTGCAAGTAAAGTATTTTTTTCTGTGCATTAGAGTGGACAGCCTGGGATAAATTTTCAAGTGAAATATTCCTATTAAGATACGTAGAACATATGCGGTTTTGTGAATTTGCATTAAAACAAACATAAAAATAAAGATAGTGGCCAGGAGTATGATAACTGTGATGGTTACATTAGAAAAACTGACGTTTACAGATTCTACCAGTGTCAGCTCCTAGCTCTTCGCGTCTCCCCGCCACTACTACTACTACTACTACTACTACTGCTGCTACTACTTCTACTACAGCCACCATGAAAAAAGTCTAGCAATCAAAACTGAACAAAAAAAGCCTGTCTACCCTAACTTCCCAACCAGTTACCATCAGTCACCAGTCACCGGTAGGAGCCAAATCGTCCGTCAATTGACAGTTCAATGCTGTCAATCTGTCCATTCCCCTTCAAAAAGACTTCTTCGGGCTACCTCTAATGGCTAGGAGCATGGTGAATCCATCGAACAGTCGACACGCTATGAACGAATACTACTTCTATCAAAATCTCGGCACGCCAATCTGTCCATCCCAACTTCTACTACTACTACTACTACTCGTCAACATCACGTTAAACTTAGCCGACAACGCGACCGCCACTTCTCTTCGACTGAGCAAAGCAAAATGACACCTACACACCATCCTCTCACCATCCAACCAAGTATCACTACTGCTATATGTTCACAGTTGTCTGGTATTTCATCGATCTCCAAAGATTTTTTATCTTTTTTTTAATGTAATTAATAGTAGTCACATTCTCTGTGGTCCAGTCATAAATCGGTTATGCGTATTCAATATATCTCTTTCGAGTGGAAAGTGAAAACACTGACTATGATACCTATTCTTAACTGCTTTTGTGATGTATTTTTGCTACACATTGGACCACAGAACTGCCGCTTGTTGCAAGATTACTTATCATTATGTTTTATCTGTTCGAAAAGCTACACGATGTATTGGGTTTATATTGCTGTGTAAAAATTACTTATTCTTCGTGTAGCTTTGTAGCTTATTTACTTATGAAAATATCAGTATTTATCTTTTCGGACAGATTGTATCCATTTATCATTACATATATGTATAAATAACATGTACTCTAACAGGAACATTACATAATACCGCTAATGATAACAGTATTATACTTTAGACAAAATACATAGGAAGTTGTGCATTAATAAAGTTATTTCTTTTGGATTTAGTTACAATGATTTAACACATTTTTTTACTATTTTAGATCAAAGTCTCGTAGTCCACGCAGGAGATCTCTGACTCGCAGCCGCAGTCGAGACCGTCGTTCTCGTTCGGATTCCTGTGATAGACGGTATTAATATAAATCGAAATTACAAAAGAAACGAAAGCCAGATCATGTCTTGCTTTTATGAAACGAGGGAAGTCCTCAGTTTTTTAAATACTTGTTCTTTATTTACTTGCAGTTAAGTGTTAAGCGTTTAAAAGAGTGCACTGACTGCTGAATGGAAGAGAAAATATTTTGTATCTAAATAAGTAAGAAGAAGACGTGTAATGTAACAATTACTACCATGATTTGAGACAAATGTATGTGTATGTACACGGCTAATAATGTGAAACAGTTCTTTTATGTTGTATTAATTATTTTGTACCACTTTAAGACTTTAAAATAAAAGTATGATTCTTTTTGTATAGTAACTTAATGTTTATTATGATACGAATAATATGATGATATCATAATACGAATAAATAAAGTGATGATAATTTTGTTGTTAGTTTTTTACACCTTATATAACTATATTGTTATATGAGAATTGTACTGCTTTCTATTACATTTTTAGTATTTGCGCATACAATATACTTTCTTATATTGATGTTCCTGTCCATGTCCACATCATGTATGTATGTATGCATATTTGCACAAAATGAGTCAACATAAGGTGTTTATCGATTTTTATAAAAAGTGGTATAATATTACCATTCTCTCAATGAATAAATGAAGCATTTCTAAATTTTCATTTTCTGTGTACTACATAACAATCTTGTTATAATTATTAAAATAAAATGAAATGTTTTAGCATCAGAGTAATAAACGTATACTATTAAAATAAATTATTATTCTCAAAATGAAAGTTAATAAAGCTATCAAATGTATGTTTTGAAGAACGCTCCGTACTTTGAAAATGCACTATTAAAAGCTTTCGTTTGACTAAAAGGTACTAAAGGTAGGGGCGATAACAGTACACCAGTGCCATCTTAGAAAGACCACAGAAGATCAACGCTACCGCTACACACACCACCATTTTGTGAGCATTTCTACTTACTTGTGCAGTGCAGTTGAACGGAACGTGTTGCGGAGCCACAAAGTTCATTTAATTAAATCTACACACAAAAATGTAAGTATAATACAATATTTTGTTAAAACTATATATACATTTGTCCATTTGTACTCATTTATAAAGATATCCTAAAAACGATTCGCGAGAATACTTCCAAAATCCCATGGCGTCGCTTTCCATTCCGACAGATCTTAATCTTTCACGTTATTTATATATCAACGGGAATAAAGGCGCCAAAATAAATAGACGTGAGTTTAGATGCGGTAACGATGTAGCAAATGATCTGCGTAATATGTTTGTTCGTTTAAATTAAAGCGTGTCTTTTAACACAGCGTAATGAGTCCCTGTTACTGCGGTAAATTAAGAGCACAACATGGCGGTATTCCGACTTTCTCTTTTCAGTATAAGCAATGAAATTTCGTGGCTAGTATTGATTATGAATTACCGAGCTTATTACGTAAAGTTAATTTGAATGTGAAGGAAGCGCGCTCAATATGTACGTCAGGTCTAAATAGCGTTGCAAGTAATGCATGAGGGCGGTATTATTTTCGTCGCCGGTCGATATCTTTTTAATATAGGTAAACTGATAGTGGGTGTTCATTTACATATTCTTGTCGACTGTTGAATTCTTTAGATCTACCAAGGGCACTGTATCTATTTATACAAAATACATATAATTATATGTTTTCATTTGTAGGCATTGAATATACTTTAACCTTAACACAAGCCAAATCTACTATTCCCAGATACACAAAATGTCACGTTACCGTGAATGGGATCTTGCCTGTAAAGTTTACGTCGGCAACTTAGGAAATAGTGCTAGTAAACATGAAATTGAAAGTGCATTCAGTAAATATGGACCACTCAGAAATGTATGGGTTGCCAGAAATCCACCTGGTTTTGCTTTCGTTGAGTTTGAGGATCCACGAGATGCTGAAGATGCAGTCAGAGGACTAGATGGAACGTGAGTATGAAATATATGAACAAGGAAAATGTTACATGAAAATTTTTGCATTATGATCAATGGTCTAATAAATTTTTCTTGTACACAGACGTTGTTGTGGAACAAGAGTGAGAGTAGAGATGTCCTCAGGAAGAAGTCGGCGTGGAGGTGGTGGACGTAGACCCGGTCCTAGATATTCCAGGTAAGAAATCTCAAAATATTAATTATCCACATTTTACAGCATCATTTGAGCTACTGCAGATGGCTAAGTGTCTTGCCAAGTAGGTATTACAGTGCAATTATTGAACAAGAATGTCAAGAAATGATGCACGAATTTCGGTGAATTTTTAATGCACAGCGAATGTGAATTCATACATATGAATATATATACATACATACATGTTAATGTATGTATATATTTTTTTTTAATTATTTTGTAAAGGAATGCGGGTAGAATATATTATTATGTATTGTATTTATTTGATCTTTATGCTCTTCTGGCTAGTACTCTTATATAATTACACATTCAGTTCTGTATTTGTTCAAACAAATGTAGAGGAATATGTGTAAAGTAACATAGAGAGAAATTTTTTTAAGATTGTAGAAATATTTTTATGTAAAGATATAAAAGTAGCCGAAGAGCAATTAAACACATTGCATGGAAAACCTAAATGGGAGATGGTAGGGCAAAGTTTTAGTTTTGGCAGTGGTAATGATTTCATTTAGACGCTCATGTTTCCCACTATTCAAAAATCACCTTGTGAAGATGCTTAGCAAATAATTGAATTTCACATGCCCATATATCTTATTGACAAATTTATAGGTCCAGATCTCGCAGTCCCCGTAGGAGATCACTGGGTCGCTATCCGAGGTAAGATTTTACTGGCCCTGTTCACCGCAATTTTCAGGTGCGAGTACACAAAAGAAAAAAATCAAAGCGAAACACGGCGATCGGCAACATAAAAGCAGTGTAATGCATACGATATTTCTTCTTAATTTCTTTTAGGTCCTGTTCCAGAAGTCCACGCAAATCATCGATTAGCCGATATTCCAGGTAATCTAATATTACTTCGTAATTTTATGAAATTTTCAGGGCCTTACCAAGTACAGCCAATCTGCAAACTACAAGTAGGTATTTGCAAGTACCGCTTGTATTGTGATCATCGCAATTTTGCACGCTAAGTCACAATATAGTCGTGTAAAAGATGTAGAATGAATTCTATTCAAAATTGATTGGACATGAGTACTGCGTAACTATCGTGATAGACGGCCGTATAACGCTTAATTGATTGGCATAATTTGGAGAGGACAGAACTAGAACGATCTACGATAAACGGAATTGTGAAGAAATAATTCAAGAAAAAACAGATTTGAGATCAAGATTTAGTTGGCAACTACGAAGCTCGTTCCATGCATAAAGAGTAACGTCAATAGCAAATAAGTAAATCATAGGGGTGTCTGGTGTTAAATCATGTTTATCATTTCAATTTATTTTTAATGCTTATTGTTTCTTCTTTAGAATACAATTAATTATTACTTGTTGCGAGTGCTTGCACTTATTTGGTATCTGAAAGATATTTCTGATCATTGTATATGGATTTTTTTTTCAGAAAGCATCATTTTATTTGGACGTAATTTTTAAACTCTATTCAGATGCCGAATGAGGTCCAAGATTAAATTAGTTTATTACATAGTAAAGAATTTGAAAATTGAATTGTAAGAATGTGCAAATAATTTAATTGCACTTTATATTCTAGGTAATTCTATTTGTCGTACACGCATCGGAGCAGCTTTAAATTCTATATTAATTACGCTTTACGTGCTAGCTTTACGAAACTGAAATTCATTTCGCACTACAGATATCGAAGTACGATTTTAATGCACTGCACTATGCGTTACGATAAATACATAAAGGATAAATTGAGGCTATACATCCATCATATAAATTTAATCAATCAACTGCAAGTAGAGTCTTCTTTTATATTCATTAGAGTGGGCAGTCTAGGATAAATTTCAAGGAAGCATTCGCTAATAAGTGAAATATGTGCAATTTTGTGAATTTGGATTAAGAGATATGTTGAAAACAAAAGAACTCGTGTGTACCGATAGTGGCCAGGAGTATGATAACTGTGATGGTTATATTGTTAAAACTGACGTTTGCAGATTCTACCAGCGTCAGCTCCTAGCTCTGCTCGTCTCCCCGCCACTACTACTGCTACTACTACTACTACTACTACAGCCACCGTGAAAAAAAGTCTAGCAATCAAAACTGAACAAAAAAAAGCCTGCCTGCCCACTAACTTCCCAACCAGTCACCATCAGTCACCGGTAGGAGCCAAGTCGTCCGTCAGTTGACAGTCCGATGCTGTCCGTCAGTCCGTCTGTTCCCCTTCAAAAAGACTTCTTCGGGCTACCTCAACCTCTAGCGGCTAGGAGCATCGTGAATCCATCGAACAGCCGACGCGATATGAACGAATACTACTTCTGTCGAAATCTCGGCGCGTCAGTCCGTCCGTCCGTCCCAACTTCTACTACTACTACTACTGCTACTACTACTACTCGTCAACCATCACGTTAAACTTAGCCGACAACGCGACCGCCACTTCTCTTCGACTGAGCAAAGCAAAATGATCACCACCTACACACCATCCCACCACCACCCAACCAAGTACCACCACCACCAACCACCACTACATGTTCACAGTTGTCTGGTATTTCACCGATTTTCAAAGATTTTTTATCTTTTTTTTTAATCTAATTGATGGCGGTCATGTTCTCTATAGTCCAATGATAGTATTTACATTTAGTCGAGAAATTCCGTGAACAAACACTAGTTGCATTTTTTCCATGTTTTAATAATATGTATACATTGGACAAGAGAACTGTCGCCCTTTACATATAATATGTATTTATCGTTATATGTATAATATATGAGAAACTATATATTATACGTATAAATAACAGTTACTTGTAAAGACTTAATTTAACTAAATTAATCCTACTTTCGTTTATTGGTTTCTCATTATTGGTGAGATGTCATTTTGTATTAATTATTGTGTCTAACTAGTTTTATCACCCTTTAGGCAAATAGGAATTAGCCAAATCCTAATTCTATTACGATTGCTTTGCGATCGTTTTCGTACCCATGTGTTTAACGCGCGGCGTACTGTTTCGTCTCATATATTACCCTATACGATATTTGAGTTTTGTATATTATACATTTCAAATTATATATTAAACATCTATGCATTTCATATCGCGCATTTTTGACATGAACACTCATACATATCGTTCATAATCGTGAAACTTGAGACGAAGTAGGGGTCGTGCATTAATGAACTGTTTTTGCCGTTTTAGCAACAACAATCTAAAATGTTTTTCAATATTTTAGGTCAAGGTCCCGCAGTCCCCGCAGGAGATCACTGACTCGTAGCCGCAGCCGAGACCGTCGTTCTCGTTCGGATTCCCGTGACAGACGGTATTAACATTTCTACAAATTAAACATAACATAAAAAAAGAAAAAAGCGAAATGTTGAAGCGAAAGTCCTTTTCGTGTCAACTTTTATAATGTTCAACGTGGAATAAAAAAAACATTATTGATCCGATGTATGATCGTTGAACAAAATTTAAAAAGAAGCAAATTCATATTAGATACTTGTAATGAAAAATCAGTAGTTTGCCATTTAAAAGATGAAAAAAAGACTATCTGTGATATTACATTGATTCAAATAATCTTACAGTAGTTTTCCTTTGATGCATCAATTATATCTTCTTTGCATTGAAATTACGGCTTACAGTAAAGAGCAGCGAAATTAAGTTGTGTGCTAAGTTAATATTTTCTAAGTGTGTGTTCTCTTATTTACTTACAGTTAGGTGCTAAAAGTATCAAGAGAACGGACCGACAAAATGTGCTGGAAGGAGGACAAAAAGAAAACCAATTTTATATGTACATAAAGAAAAACAAAAAATATAATCGTTACCACGCGTACATACTTGGACGAAGCAATGATAATAATAAAGAGAAGACGTTTATTAAGGATACGGAACGATCATGCAATCAATATGTTTCGTATTTGACTCGTTAACTTTGTACACAAGATAAAACAAGGCAAATCCTGTGTGTGCATAAATATGTTGATATTAGAACACTTCACACGCGAGTGCGTGTGATCAGTTACACATACGCGTTATAGTCTTATAAACATTATATACGTATTGTACACGGCATATAAAAAATTCTTTTGTGACTCGAGCTATTCTAATGGAATGACGAATCATTACGAAATGTGCTCATTGCTCTTATAAAGTGTACAAGGTGAGACGAATTCGGTTGCGATCGAGAACGTTTTAGTAACGATATGCATAACGGTGAGTGTTAAACTCGACGACAAGGCATCATCAGCGACTCGAAGCTGCAGAGACATTCTGGTGTGTAGAAGTACATGGAAGAAAAGGATAATGAAAGACGGTCGCTTCTTTCGTTGTATTAATTATTTTGTACTCTTACAAATTTAAGACTTTAAAATAAAAATGTATCGTATAATTATTTTGGCTTTCCTATTGCAATAGCAATTTGATGTTTATTAATAGGAATAAATAAAGTACTGGAGTAAAAAGAAATTTAATGTTTGTTTATTCTTTGCATTATAATATACAACCCACGGAGAAATTAAGTTGATCGGTGTCAATGCTAATCACAAAGTACTCCTTTCAAGTGTGAAAAATTTATAAAAATATTCTAATTCAGACGAATGATACATTTCCGAAGTGCAGACAACATAATCGAACGCTGTTTTGGCAAAGGTGGTAATCTCTTATGGGTAAGGCGAGGTTTTCATCTAAAATCTTCAAAATGTTTAAATAAGACTTGAATGCTTCTTCGTGGTTTCCTTCTTCGAGATTCCTGGAGGCAACTTTGAAAATTGCATCCGTGTCTTGTAGGGCTTTCAATCCTTTCAAAATGTTCGTGCTCTTTCCACATTTTGAGCATCTAATCATAAACTCCTCCGTATCTGTTTTTATAGGTAAAATGTTCCCACATTCTTTCCCCGTTTCGCATTTAAATCTGAACGAGAAAAAAATTAACTTGCAGCAATTTACGTGGTAAAAACAAATAAGTAATAAACGTTAGCTTGATTTTAATTTTTATTTTAATTAACTGATACCTTAGAATCGTCGGATCAATTTCTTCTAAAAGAGGCCAATGTCCCGCACACGCTTCACAGTTGCAATCGAACCAGTATTGCCATCTCAGCTTCCTTTTCCTTTCCGTTTCGGGAGTAATTGTGAAAATTGGGCCATAGTTTTCCGATATCTCTTCACCAGCAGAAATCGAGCGTATTGCTCGTACAATCATAGTAATACCGTTAAAGTACCTGTAGATCCCAGCATGGAAAAATTTAAATATTTGTAAATCATATTACAAGATGATTCACTACCTGATAACTCCAGGATTACACGAATGATTAAATAATGCTATTGTACTGTAAATTCCGCCAGCGATGAAATTGCTTTTAGATTTTTTCATACTCTTACTGCCCTTCGGTATAATTAATTCCGATATCTATATTAATAAATTATTTAATTAGAAGTTTACTCTGCGACTGCCGATACATTCGTCGGGTCAAGCATGTAATTTACTTCATGGGAATTAAATTGTAGCAGCATTAAACTGTGCAGTAGCAAACCGCCTATCCACAATTCAACCTCGGATGGTGTATGTCCCGGTGCATCTGGAGTTTTAACGTCTTCTGGAATATAAGAAGTCTTTTTCAAGAGCCTCAATAACCAAATAGCTATATAGGTCCTGTGCAGGAGATCTTCTGCTGTCCTTTCATCCTCATGGGTTACTGTACACATATGGAAAAAAAGATTAGACGTTTTGGGCTAAACTGAGAAAGGATTACTTTATTACGTAAAATCAGAATATTAGGACACTGCGGACTGGCCACGAGAATTCTTGTAAATATGTAATATATAATAAATTTAAAGGTCCGCAATGTCCTTCATTTGATTAGGGAGCGTTTTACTAATTTTTATAATACTGGTTTAGATATTGATTGATTAATTACATAATCCACAAAAGGTTTCGAAATCATCTGATCGATACGGCCGTTCCACGGAGACTTCCAATTTACTCGCCATATTTTTCATCTTCTCTTTATGTTTCATTAACTCGTCGAATGGTTGTTTGGTGATCACCCTTAAAGCTAGGAAACAGTTTATGGAGGTTCGCGAAATCCATAAATCAGGCAATATTTTGCATTCGATCTCGTGGATCTTAGCATCCTTGTCTCTGCACGATATACTACAATACGCTATGCAACTGCACGCTGCGCAAGCTGCTGGTAGAGGCACGAATATTCTTGTGAAACAGTAATGACAATGAGTGAGCCTGAAATGAAATTATTCTCTGATCTTGTATGTTAAATATAAGAATAGAATGCTCGATCTCTTCTAAATCTAACTGTTAATGATTAAAACTTGGCCATACCTATATTCTGCCAACAGGAACGAACAGTATGGATTCTCAATCGCTATTATTTCGCCCGGTTCGATATCTTTTGCAGCTACAGCGTGTCTTCCTATGTCACCACCCTCGTCTCTGATTTCAACAGCTTCGGTGCAAGAAGGATACAGAGGATTACAGTTTTCAATTTGTGGAGTTAATTTTTTTACTTCGTGAGGCTTTTCCTTCTCGACTTTTAGCTGAGTCGTTTTCGGTTCCTTTCGCGCTAACTCGTTACCCTTATCTATCACTGCGAGCATGACTCGTATATCTGCCTCGAGTTTCAGCTTCTTTTCCAATAGCAATTTCGACTCATCTAAAAATTTCAAAGCGCTCCTAAACGCCAGCACGGCTTCATCGTGTCTCTTTAATCCGAGCAAACATTTAGCGCGTCTCTCCTCGAGTTTGTACAATAATTCCTTTGGATATCCGACGCGTTTGGCTTCTTTTATATCAGTCAAAGCATGATTGTGTTGCTCGAGATGGTAAAGCGTCGCTGACCGATTCCCAAATATAACGCCCAAGTCTGGAGAAACGAGACGATTCTTTTAAAGGGACATAGACCATGACACAGAGGTGAGCAATTTAAAATAACATCGATGAGAACAGTAAACGAGCAACCTTGAACTTAAAGAACATCGATGTGACGATTAAATCATTATTATACAATCGATGCGATAAACCGATTCTTGGTGACGGTATAATTCACGCGACTACGAAGTGGAAAGTGTGCTGATTCTCGCAAGGACGATAAATTCCCCGCGAAACAAGCGACGCGTTTTAAATAGCGTTAAATAAATACGCTGTGATAGCATCGAGGATCATTAATTACCTTCCCGAGGTGCCAACAGGACCGCGTTCGAGTACGTTTCCAACGCCTTAATGAATTCGCCGCGGCCGAAATACTTGTTACCGAGCTCCTTCAATTGCCCAGCCTTTTCCTTGCTCTTCAGCAGTGGCTCGACGTCTACGTCCAACGACAGACCATAAACCTCCGGATAATTCAGCACGAAATCGATCCTCTCCGGATTCGTGTCCAGAGCGATGAATCTTCTCATCTGCTGCGCCGAGAACGCATTTTGCAACTCGGAGAAATTGGACTGGAAGTAGTCACTGATCTCGTCATCGTTCGACATTTTCCCACCTCACGCCTCTGATCGAAATATTTTCTAGCAGGAAACTCTTTAATTTATCTCACAGATTCGCAATAATTAGTTTATACGTTTAGGGCTCATTATATGATTTACAAATTTTTTCTCAATCCTATGAAATTGATCAGACGGATA